CATCAAATCACCCTTTGAATTCTGTTCAGCCCCTGTGTTTGTCCTCAAAAAAGGGGGAGAAAGCAGCAGCTCCTGGCTGTTCCACTGTCTGAATTCCAGGGAAAAGCCACCAGAGCTGGGTCCCATCTCTGCAGGGACAGGAGTTTTGCATCCTCTGTCATTCCAGATTTTGAGGCATTTTATGTGAAAGGTGTTAATCCTACAGAAAGTTCTGGAGAAAAGAGGGGAGAAGCAACTGAGCTGGAAAAGTGTCCAAAAACCCTGCGGCACTGTCCAGAATTCCGGGTCACTCCCAAAGCCCTGGAGGAGGCTGACCACAGCACAAACCCTGACCACAAACTGAATTTCACTCCTCCAACAGGCACCATTAAATCAGATTTCTCCAAGCTGGGAAAAGCTCAAGCCACAGCACCCAGCACTGAATTTCTCTCCTCCAACAGGCACCATTAAATCAGATTTCTCCAACCTAGGAAGAGCTCAAGTCACAGCACCCAGCACTGCCCAAACTGAATTTCACCCCTCCAAGAGGCAAAATTAAATCAGATTTCTCCAACTTTGGAAAAGCTCAATGTTGCAGCTATTGCAGCTCACCTCACAGCATCCAGCAGTGCTCAAACTGAATTTCACTCCTCCAAGAGGCAAAATTAAATCAGATTTCTCCCAGCTGGGCGAAGCTTAAGGCACAGCACCCAGCACTGCTCAAACTGAATTTCACTCCTCCAAGAGGCAAAATTAAATCAGATTTCTCCAACTTTGGAAAAGCTCAAGCCACAATCACCCAGCTCTGCTCGTTGCTGTGAGGAAGGAGAAAATTCTGGGAGACCTCAGGAGCTGAGCTGACATTGTGTGTCCCCTTTGTGGCCACCAGCACTGTGCCTAAATCACATTTTGTGGCCTTTCTGCACGTGGGAACAGAGCTCTGCTACCAGGAGGTTTGACACTAATTGCAGCCCATCCATTGCACCCACCTAAAATAATTAAGCAGTGGGATTCCAGCTTATTTTGAGATCAGAAATGACTGGGAAAAGAGTGGGAAAATGAGAGGGTTGGTCCTGAAGAGGGTGCTCAAAGATACCTCCCAGAGCTGTGTTATTTACCGCAGGTTTGCAGGCTGTTTCATTAAAAATAAAAATACTCTGGGTGAAAGGAGGTTGCTTTCCATAATGCAGTGTAATCCTGCTGCCAAATTGTCTAAATCCAAATTTAGACACATAAACATGGAGCCTGCTCAGCTTTTAAGGGGAGTCTGTGTGAAAAGTGTGTTTGCTCAGGATTAACCCAAAAGGACTCTGGAAACCATAATTTTAGCTAAAAAACCTCAGGGTGCTGCTTGCTTTGCCTCCTTTAGAAATCAAGTGAGAGTTCCCATTCCACTTTGGGGATGACACCACGTGTGAAAATCCCAATCTCTCCCTCAGAACAAGGTGGAAATTCCTATTTTTCCCTCAGAAAAGTGTGGAAATGCATATTTCTCCCTCAGAGCAATGTGGAAATCCACACCTCCCTCAGAAAAATATAAAAACAAGGTGGAAATGCATATTTATAAGAACAAGGTGGAAATGCATATTTATTCCTCAGAACAATGTGGAAATGCATATTTCTCCCTCAGAACAAGGTGGAAATTGCTATTTTTCCCTCAGAAAAGTGTGGAAATGCATATTTCTCCCTCAGAGCAATGTGGAAATCCACACCTCCCTCAGAAAAATATAAAAGTGCAATTTCTCCCTCAGAACAGTTTGGAAATGCAATTCTTCCCCAAGAATGAGGTGGAAATTCCTATTTTTCCCTCAGAAAAACATGGAAATGCAATTTCTCCCTCAGAACAATGTGGAAATGCAGGTTTCTCCCTTAGAAAAATGTGGAAATGCAATTTCTCCCTCAGAAAAGCGTGGAAATGAGTATTTCTCCCTCAGAACAAGGTGAAAATCCAGTTTCTCCCTCAGAACAATGTGGAAATCCACACTTCTCCCTCAGAACAAGGTGGAAATGCTCACAATTCCACATCCTTGTATGAACACCAATTATTTTATGAGTGAGAAAGGAATTCCAAAGTTTTCCAGCTGCTGAGAGGCTCCAGGAGTGGTTTTTTCCTAGGCCAAAGGCAGTGCAATTCCCTCAGACATCTGTCTGAGCAGCACCAAGCTTCAATTACTGAACAATTTAATTTTTTAAAACTTTAATTTTTTAACATTTTCTCCTTCAAACCAAATTTTAGCCACTTCCATTTAGCCTTGCCCATTCCAACTCCTCCTTCTTCCCGTAACTTTGCAGAAAATAAAGCTGCAATCAAGGGGGACGAATCTCAGTTTTAGAGTTCTTAGTGTTCATGCAAGGAGCAAGACAAAAACAAATCCCTAAATCAGGGATTTGACCCAAAAGTGATGTATCAGCTGGTTTTCTTCAATTCTCTGACTCACAGAACTCCTTGTTTCAGTTTTATTCCTCAGTTTTGTAGGGAAAATCAAGCAAGAATGGATTATTCCACAGGAAAACCAGCACCCTGTGTTTGCTCCAAGCTACCTCAGATGTTTACAGCAGCTGGAGTTATTGATATTTTTATTTATTTATTTAAGAAGCAGCAAGGAAAAAACACCAAAAAAACCCCACTTTTCAAACCCATTTCACAAATGCTCCAGGGCTGGGTACAGAGTGCTGTTGTTTTTGGAGAGGTTCAGCCCAAATGACCCCAAACCAAGATGTTTTCCTGGAAAACCATGAATGGTGAAAAGGAAAGGTGGCATTTGAGGCAGGCCCAGGTGCTGTTTGTAAGATCAGCAATTCCAGCTCAGCTGGGTTTTCAGCTGGTGGGAACAAGCCTGGTTTGTTAAATTTGGAACTTCTGGAGCAGGGAGGCTCCAGGATTTGAGGAGGAGCAGGTCACAGCTCCTGCAGCCAATGTACACCAACATTTTGGTTTTTCACATCAAAGTGTCCCATTTAACAGGGCAGAGTAAAGGTACCCACTGTTCCTGCTCATAATTATTAAATTGATTAATTATTAATGGTGCTCAATGCCCTGAAGGGTATTTTGTACACCAAATTCTGTAAACATCCCCTGATATTGGCTGATTTACTCCCTTTTGAGACTGAAGCCTATTAATGGAAGAAAGAATAATTCTCACAATAAAAAGATCAGAAAAAAATCTTTTTTTTTTTTGCAGAGAAATCCTCCAGCAGCAAAAGGATGGAGAGTTTTCTGGGAATAAGGATTTCCTCCAGCTCAGAGTCAGCATCACCCCTGTCCTCTCCCTCTGATGTCAAAAAACCCCAAAACAAAACCACACAAACAAACAAAAAGAAACAAACCCAAAGCAAACAAAAACCTCACAAACAACAGCCAAAAAAACCCCAAATAGAAATAAACCACACACACACAAAAAAAAAAACCCCAAAATCTGCTCCAAAAAAAAACAGGTTTTAGGCACAGCAGCCAATACAAGAGGAAGAATATTTCTCTTTATTTCTCTTTTTGATGCTCCAGTTGAGTGCAGCAGTATCATAAATCTCCTGCTTCAATCCTAAAAATCTCCTGTCATTTCCAACACCTCATCTCTCCCGCCATGGAGCACCCAGCAATTTTCTAGTTACATAAAATACTGGAAATTGATCTAGGCTTTTAGGAAAGAGCTGCAGGAAGCAGTTATTTCCCATTTTTCCCCTTCCCATACACAATCAGGCCTGATTCTCAGCTGGAATGTATTTTTTAAGTTCAACTGGATTTACTTGTGGCTGAAATAACTTTTATTTTATGTCCAGCAGCCTGTAAAAAACCTCAAGAATCCATGCTGATGTCACTGAACACCACATTTTCTAGAGAAGACTCTTAAAAATGTATTTAGTTCTTACTCTGGTTAAGAACCATTGCTCTCCAAGTTAAGGAGACAACCAAAATCGTTTTAACATTTTAAAAAAATTGTATTTTTGCCACTGCCACATTGCTGGGCTCCGAGCTTTCCAGAATGGGGCAACACCCTCCACATTTGCAATGGGATTTGGTTCAGAGAAATGAAATTCAGAGTTTTCAATCCCTCCAAGTCAGCTGATTTCCTATTTTAGAGTCAACTCATTCCAGCCAAACCTGATCACTGAGAGAAAATTCCTGAATTTCTTCTGTTCAGCTGAGCTGCTGCCTGCATAGAATCCAAGAATTAAGGGAAAATGAGAGATATTAGATTTTATATTCCAGTTTTGAGGGACCTTTGCAGCCCAATGAGTGACATAAAAAAACCTCATCAGTTCTCTCCAAGCTCTGTAATGAACACCTTGAATCTGTCTGGTTTTCAACCATTTCCTCTCAAAAACAGAACAGCAAAATAATGGAAATTTTCAGTATTTGGGGAATTTTAAATCAAAGCTTTCCTGTTTGCAGCTTTTTTTTTTTTTTTTGTTACCACAGCTACACATGCACCTAAACCTTGGTTAAGTGAGCAGATTCAGATATTTTGGAGAGGAAGAATTCAGATATTTATTTGGAGGAAGCTCCTGATAAAGCTTTGTGAGCATATCCTGGGCTCATGCTCCCCCTACAGAAAATCAGGGGCATTTTCCATCTCTCTGGATGTTCAGTTCAGTGAATTTTAAATCCCATCCTGTGCTCAAAAACACTGAAGGAAGCTGACACAGCCCTGGGGTGTAAAACTTGATTGGTGCCTTGTAAAGCAGAGGTTTTTCCACGAGGAAAACACAAATCCTGAGAGATTGAAGGTGATGGGAAGGAATTCCTGCCTGTGAGGGGTGGAAAGGCCCAGAGAAGCTGTGGCTCAGGATGTCCCAAACTGCACCTTGTGTAGCAATGATTTCCACAGATTTTTTTCCTCATTTTCAATTTATTCTCTCCCAGCAGAAAAAAGGGAATAATTTTCAGGGAGTTTCCCAGCTTATTCTTTTCCCCTTCAGCCCACTCCATCTCTTTGCGAGAACACAAAAGTTAAATCACACCAAACCACCTAGAACTGCCCAAAACCCCACAAAGAAAAGCAGAAGCCAAAGCAGAACCCAGATAAGAAGTCCTTTGTCAGGGTTTATTTTAAGCACCTGTATTTTTCACAGCTTTCACAACTCTCTTCAACCATGCAAAAGCAGCTGATTGTATCAGGCTTGTCTCAGGCACAAAAGTTTTTGTAGTTAATGAATAATTAGCTCTGAGCTTCTACTTTGACCAATATCTGGATGTTTTACATGACATGGGTCAGCCAAAGACAAAAAAAAAATAACCATTTTTTATTAGCACAAAACAGAACACAAAAAGAAATGTGCCTTTTAAGGATGCTCACAATATGCCCAAGGCTCCACAGAAGAGACACCAAAAGCTCCTGCAGGTAAATTCCATGGAATTCTGATCCAATTCCCATCCCAACTCCTCTCAGGAAAACCCCAACCTTTCTGCAGTAAGGCTGTGAAAAAATGCAATTTAGAAAAGAACTTTTCCAAAGGTTTGTGCCATATAAACAACAGGAAATTCCTTCACTGATCCCTTCTCCCACACCTGATTTTTCTTAGCTTCAGCCTCATCTCAAAGAGGGACTCCAAAAATTCAGCAAAAAGAGCTCACACTTCTCCTTTGGGGAGGAAAAGTTTCTCCTTGGGAAACTCCTTCCTACAATTTTCATCACAATCAGAAAAAGGTTACATGTCATCAACGTACTTAAATATTATTTTTTTAATTACAATTGCAGGTGTAAAATTTGTGACAGGTGGGGTTTCTTTTATCGCTTGGAACTCCTCAGGTAGATCTTGGGGGTTTGCCAGCCTGCAGGAGCACTTTTCAAGCCAGCTTTCTTCCAGATGCGCTCCAAGTCTTTCTCAAATTTTATCTAAAATAGGAAAAAAAAAATAAAAGGAGAAAAAAAATGGTAACACAGCTTAGAAGCAACAGCCACTGCCCACATGCCCCAAGGACAGTGTAGGTGTAACACACACAAAAGAAATAAGGGTTTTAAGTGTCAAAATATTGAATTTTACTGCAGAAAATTCATCAGAAGACATTAAAATGCACAGGGGCTTTGGCAGTATCGTTTTAAAAGTCCTGTGCAAGGAAAGCTGAGAAGGTAAAACCAAATTTTAGCCACTTCCATTTAGCCTTATCAAGTACCACTGTCCATTCCAATTCCTCCTTCTTCCCATAATTTTGCAGAAAATAAAGTTACATTCAAGAGGGACAAGTCTCAGTTTTAGAGTTCTTAGTGTCCATGCAAGGAGCAAGACAAAAACAAATCCCTAAATCGGGGTTTGACCCAAAAGTGATGAATCAGCTGGTTTTCTTAAATTCCTGACTCACAGAACTCCTTGTTTCTGTTTTATTCCTCAGTTTTGTAGGGAAAGTTAAGCAAGACAAGCTTGACTTTAAAATAAAGCTACATTCAAGGGGGACATTCAAGGGGGACATTCAAGTCTCAGTTTTAGTGTCCATGCAAGGAGCAAGACAAAAGAAAATCCCTAAATCAGGGATTTAACCCAAAAGTGATGTATCAGCTGGTTTTCTTACACCAGCTTTCTCAGTTTCGTAGGGAAAGTCAAGCAAGACAAGCTGAGTTCATCCAAGCTCACTTTTCCCTAAATCCACTTAAATTCATGCCCCAAAACCTGCACAGAGACTGGTCTGATGTGTGGGCACATTTCTGCCAGGGAGCTCCCCCTACCCTGGCTAAATAAATAAAATAAAGCTCCATTCAAGAGGGACAAGTCTCAGTCTTAGAGTTCTCGGTCCATGCAAGGAGAAACACAAAAAAATCCCTAAATCAGGGATGTGACCCAAAAATGATTTCTCAGCTGATTCCTTTGTTTGAATTTTATTCCTCAGTTTCGTAGGGAAAGTCAAGCAAGGCGAGCCGAGTTCATCCAAGCTCATTTTTTCCCTAAATCCCCTTAAATTCATGGCCCAAAACCTGCACAGAGGCTGCTTGGCCAGGGAGCTCCCCCTCCCCTGAGCTCACCTGCCGCTTCTTCTTGCGCCCCTCCTTTATCCTCCTGCGGATGAACTTCCTCCTCTTGAGCAGCTTCTTGTACTTGTGCCTGTTCATTTTCCTCCTGCGGATCTTCAGCACGTTCCTGCACTGCACTCTGTCACCCAGAGCTCCCTCTCCTTCCTCCACCTGCCCCGTCCCAGCGGCAGGGGGACACCCCAGGGGCTCTGGGTGTTCTTCATGGCTGGCTTCTGGCTGAGCTTTGGGGAGGGAGTACCTGACTGTGAGCCAGCTCTCCAAGGGGCTGATGGAGAGTTTCCTGGGGATGAGGATCTCCTCCAGCTCAGGGTCCAGCGTGTGCCACTGCTGGGGCTGGGCCCCGCTGGGGTTTTGGGGCTGGGTGCTGTAGCGGGCGCACGGGGAGCGGCAGCACAGGAACGACGACACCGACCTGGGCAAGAGGTGGCCTTGGGGAGAAAAAGGGGGTTTGCACTTCAAAATTGCAGAATTTTCCAGAGAAAAGCTCTGGCCCAGATCTCAGACTGACAGACAGATCCGGCCAGAGCAAGCTGACAAAGGGAGACGCTCGCAGAGGTTGTATCGACATCACAGAAGCGAGGAAGGATTTTCAAGCCTTCAAGTTTTCAATTTTCACTACAATGCTGTCATGCTAAAAATGTATTATATTTTAGTGGGAAAGCTGCCCAAATCATCCAGGCAGAGCAGGGTGGAGGTTCTGAAGGGGTTGGAATTCCATGGTCTTTAAAGTTCTCCTCCACTGGGAGGTGTCCCTGCCCATGGCAGGAATTTGGAATTCCATGGTCCTTTAAGGTTCTCCTTCACTGGGAGCTGAAGGGGTTGGAATTCCATGGTTTTTAAGGATCTCCTCCACTGGGAGGTGACCCTGCCCATGGCAGGAATTTGGAATTCCATGGTCCTTTAAGGTTCCCCATCACTGGGAGCTGAAGGGGTTGGAATTCCATGGTTTTTAAGGATCTCCTCCACTGGGAGGTGACCCTGCCCATGGCAGGAATTTGGAATTCCATGGTCCTTTAAGGTTCCCCATCACTGGGAGCTGAAGGGGTTGGAATTCCATGGTTTTTAAGGATCTCTTTCACCGGGAGGTGTCCTTGCCCAGCAGGAGTTTGGAATTCCATGGTTTTTAAGGTTCCCCTTCACTGGGAGCTGAAGGGGTTGGAATTCCATGGTCTTTGAGGTCCCTTCCAACCCAAACCCTTCCATGATTCCATTAAGTGGAATGTTCTTGTGTTTTCCGACTGAAAATCAATCTGGAATGGTAAGGAAGTGTTTGCTGTATCAAACCTCTCTGTTGCTAAGGAATCTTCTCCAAAGCCACACCATACTTACATATTAAACAGGACATAAACACATTTAACAACCACTGAGTCAACAACAGCTCCTCTCTCCTGCACTGCTTGGTGGAAAAAAAAACCTTCTGGGAGCCCAATTAGCCCAGGAAAATAAACCCAAACAAACAGAAATCTTGGCCACACAATACCAATTTACCTGCAATTCTCGAAGCCTTCAGTAACTGGGAACTCAGCCGTGATATTAACATTTTGTTTCTCTTTGTTCACTGGCAGAGCCAGCAATGACTGTTCAAATAAGAACATTTATTCAGTGATGCAAACATGCAGCTTTAAAAAAACCTTCCCTATTTAACCCCACATCCCCAAAAGACAGGTTGAGAATCTTAACATTCTCTTAGTTTTACCCTCAGTCTGTCGGGCTCTGCTGTGGGGGTCAAGCACAGGGGCAGCCGAGCCGCGGAGGGGATTTATTAATAAACCTTGGGTTGTTTTAACTTTAAAAACACGGCAACTCCAGCCGAGCTCCCTAGCACAGCCCTGCTCCTCCCTACGGCCGGGAGGAGCAGCCGCGCGGCCTCGGAACGGGCCGTCCCCGAGGGGCCGCCTCCTTCCCCTCAGCCCCCCCGGCGCTGCCCCGCCCCGGGCGGGGTCCGCACGGAGCCCCCGGGCCGCGGTTCTCGCCCTCCCCTCACGGCCCCGCCGCCACCGCCGCCATCACCCACCGGCCCCGCCGCCACCGGAACTTCCGGCCGGCCTCGGGAGCGCCCCCTGGCGGCGGCGCGCGGGGGAACGGCCCCGAACGGCCCCTCAGGGGCACGCGGGGCGCCGGTGTCGGGCCCTCACGGGACTTTGTGGTTCTTCCCGGTCCCTCACGGGCGTTTATGGCCCTTCATGGTCCCCCCCACGGCCCTTCAGGGTCTCGCGAGGGACCGGTGTCGGTCCCTCGTGGGCGGTTATGGCCCTTAATGGGACTTTATGGTTCTTCATGGCCCCCCACTGCCCTTCAGGGTTTCGCGACGGACCAGTGTCGGTCCCTCGTGGGCGGTTGTGGCCCTTCATGGGACTTTATGGTTCTTCGTGGCCCCTCACTGCCCTTCAGGGTCTTGCGAGGGGCCAGTCTCGGTCCCTCATGGGACTTTATGGCCCTTCATGGTTCTTCATGGTCCCTCACGGCCCTTTATGGTCCCTCACAGCCCTTCAGGGTCCTGTGAGGTGCTGATCTCAGTCCCTCATGGGAGGTTATGGCCCTTCATGGGACTTTATTGTTCTTCATGGTCCCTCATGGTCCTTTATGGCCCTTCATGGTCCCTCATGAGCATTTATGGCCCTTTGTGGTCCCTCATAGGACTTTATGGCCCTTCATGGTCCCCCACAGCCCTTCAGGGTGCCAATCTGGGTCCCTCACTGGACTTTATGGCCCTTCATGGTCCCCCACAGCCCACTGTGATGCTGTGAAGGATTCTGGGATTCTCTGAAGGACTCTGCGAAGGATTCTGTGAAGGATTCTGTGGTTCTGTAAAGGATTCTATGATTCTGTGATTCTCTGAAGGGTTCTGTGATGCTCTGAAGGATCCTCTGAATGGTTCTGTGATGCTGTGAAGGGTTCTCTGAAGGGTTCTGTGATTCTCTGAAGGATTCTCTGAAGAGTTCTCTGAAGGATTCCATGATGCTGTTCCAGTGATGCTGTCCCTGTCCCTGCAGGGATCGTGGAAGGCACACAGCCACCTCTCCCACACCTCATCTGCGCTGGGGCGGGTCCGGTGGCCGCTGTCCAGGGACAGCCACACCTGTCCTCTCCCTCACCTGGTGCTGTTTGTCCTCTCTGCCTCGGCACAGGACCCCACCATCCTGGCACAGCATCAAAGGGCCTAATCAGCTGGCATGAGGGAGGGATGTCGAAGCCAATCCCAGACTTCAAAGAGCTTTTTGCTTTTGTACCTACCTCAGCCAGAACACAGGAGATTTATTCACCAGCTGCTTTGAGTATTTCAGAGCAGAACAAGGGTCTGTCAGAGATTTATTCAGCAGCTGCTTGTAGTATTTCAGAGCAGAACAAGGGTCTGTCAGAGATTTATTCGCCAGCTGCTGGTTGTATTTCCGAGCAGAACAAGGGTCTGTCTCTGGTTTAGGTACGCCCCACTGTGTCAAACCCAACTACCCTGAAAGGTTAACACGGGTTAGAGATTCTTCCTGAAAATTAAGAATAAAGTTCCCTTGTCTGGAAAGAGAAACCTATGGAGGAGAAATTAAATGAAGTAAACAGTTCGGTAAACAGACTGAGACTTTATTGAAGACTTATGTACAAAACAACATTCCCACCCCCATATCAGGCTGTTAGTCACCCACTGGGAACAAAGCAAGTGCCTGGTGTACACTGGCAACCTGGGGACACTCAGAGTTTGCCACGGAATTCACAGAAGGTAACAAACTCCCTTGGTTTAGAGCAGGGCAATTTCAGCCTTGGCTCAGTTAGGATCAAAAGGAATCAAAGGAGTTGTTTTGTTTTTTTTCTGGAGGTAACTGAGCATGCTGGAATCTGACAGCATCCACTGGCCTTTACTCTGAGGTCAGGTCATTTAATTCTGCAAAGAGCCAGAAGCCCACTTTGGATTTGGAAGTGGAAAGGAAGCAGCAGCCCCTGGATTTAACCTGCAGGTTTGGATGCATTTCAGAGGGCTCCAGGAGATGCCCATCACCGGGAGCACAGCAGTGTTTGCAGCTAGAGCAGAGCAGTAGCAATGCCAAGGGAAAGACTCAGCCCCTCTGCTTCCCAAACACACCCACAGAGAGGCTGAGTGTCAGGTGGATATTTCAACAAGCGTGTAAGAACCCCCTAGAGACAGACAGGAGTGGTTAAATTGTGACTGAGGAGCTGTTCCTGTGGAGTTCTGTGCTCTTCTACCACGGCAGAGTTTCCCCTTGCCAGTCCAGGAAAGAACCATTTTCTTTTTCACCGAGACGTTCCAGAACAGAGAGAATACCTGGGATGGCCTCCTGCACCTGCATGGGAGCCTGGAATGAAACGAGCTTAGGTCATTGCTGGGAATATCCTGCAGAGGAGAATTAAACACATTTCAGGAGGCTCTAGAATGAAGGGGGATGTCAGAGAAACAGAGAGAGAAAGCTAGATAAGCTTTCCCATGAATTGATCTGAGGGAGCTGGAGAGAAAAAATTAAAACAATCCCCACGTGGTGTTTTGTAATAAGCTGTTTTCCTCATAAGGTTGTTCACAAAAGGGTGGTTTCTTAGCACCCTCTCTGTAGCAAACTGGAGTATAAAAAGGAATTCTTAATAAAGTTATTAGCCTTCAGAGAATGCATGGAGTGTGTCACTCATTTATCTGTGTCATCTCTGACTCAGTGGTGACATTTTGGTGTGTCACAGCCCACAGAGGGGTGCAGCCAGGGGGCTGGGACAGCAAGGGTGTCACAGACACATTTTATGAAAAATCTATTTACCTGCTGCTGTGGGATGCGACAGGTGAATCTTTGATTGGTCTCATGTGGTTGTTTTTAATTAATGGCCAATCACAGTCTGGCTATCTAGGACTCTGGTCAGTCACAAGATTTTTATTATCATTCTTTTTCTATTCCTTTCAAGCCTTCTGGTGAAATCCTTTCTTCTATTCTTTTAGTATAGTTTTAATAGATCATTTTCTTTTAATATAATATATGATATATTCTTTTAATATAATATATGATATATTCTTTTAATATAATATATGATATATTCTTTTAATATAATATATGATATATATTATATGTTATATTATATGATATTATATATCATGAAATAATAAATCAGCCTTCTGAAACATGGAGTCAAGATTCTCATCTCTTCCCTCATCCTGAGACCACCACCACACAAGGGACCCCAGTGTGACATTTCCAGCACTGGCACTCACCATGTTCCCACCCATGTCTGTTTGAAGCCAGCCTGGGTGCAAGGAAATGCAGAGAATTCCGTCTGATTTCAGGTCTGCAGCGAGACACCGGGTGATCATGTTCAAGGCAGTCTGCAGGGGTGGAAACACCCATTAATTAATGTGTGATTAATGAGCCTGGAGCACCAGCCCGAGCCCAGCTGCTGGGCACCTCCCTTCCACCCTGCTGCCACAGCACGGGGCAGGAAGAGGCTCTCAGGAACTCATCCGGACTTTCTGGGAACTCTGAAAGCTCTGCCACCACAAACTCGCTGCCCAAAAACGAAACCAAGCTGTAAAGGAAGATAAAGTGGCATTTGCAACGCCTCAGGGGCTGGGAGGAGAATAATATTGACATAAGGACGGTGTTTTTCTGCACTAATCACTACACAAACATTCATTTACTTCTGAACAGGGAAAACAAGCATTTAACAGCTTATGAGTAGGTGGTGTAGGAGAAACTGTATGTGTTATCTGTACAAACTCAATCCCTGGATGTGAGAAAACTGAAAATCCCACCTGTCACTGACTGACATCACCACGTAGAGGTCAGCACACCTTTTGCTGAGCTTCCTGCCTGCTCTCTCTCTTGGATGGGAGAGGAACACAGCTGATGGAGCCCACACTCGATGGCATCAGCTCTTCCCTGAGTGCCAAAGCCCCCAGGAGTGGATCTGTACCAGAGCAGGGATTTGGGAGCCTGTTCTCTCACACTCCATGGCATCAGCTCTTCCCTGAATCCCTCAGGAGTGGATCTGTACCAGAGCAGGGATTTGGGAGCCTGTTCTCCAGGGGTTGCTCCAGGTGCAGCGTTCCAAGCTCCCACTTCCACCCACATGAAGAACAAGAGCACTTTTTTTGCCCACAGAGGTGCTGCACCCCTTGCTAAGGCCAGCAAGGCTCCACCTGCCCTCAGCCAGGGAGCACAGCCCAGGCCAGCCTGTAGCTGTGATATTTTTTGAAAATTCCCTTTGCTAGGATTTTTCTCCTGAGAAGCTGAGGCCTCAGAAATGAAATGTAAACAATAATTACCTGCTGCTGTGGAATGCAACAGGTGCATCTTTGATTGGTCTTATGTGGTTGTTTCTAATTAGTGGCCAATCAGAGTCGAGCTGTATCAGACTCTGGTCAGACACAAGATTTTATTCTCATTCCATTCCATTTCTTTGCTTGCAAGCCTTCTGATGAAATCCTTTTTTCTATTCTTTTAGTATAGTTTTATTATACTTTTAGTATAATATATATCATAATTATATAATATATACTTTAAATATAATATATATCATCATTAATATAATATATATCAATTTACTTTTAAATAATATATATCATAAAATGGAGTCAACATTCTCATCTCTTCCCTGTCCTGGGACCCCTGACAACACCACCCCAGCAGCCCACAAACCTTTGCTATCCTGTAGGGATAGACCTTGAGGAACATCTCGTTGGCCTGGACGAGCTGCATGGAGGCAGCCAGGGAGGACATGTTGATGATGGCAGCTCTGTGACAGCCCATGCCAGTGCCCAGCTGTGCTGCCTTCCTCAGCAGCGGGAGGAACGCCTGTGAAAACCAGAGTTTGCTTCACTTGGTGAATGGGGTTGGAGCTGGATCATTCCCTCATCCAAAGCAGGAACCCCAGCACAGCTCTGTGCCACCAGCACAGCGTGGTGGTGGCTCCTCACACCCCGTGGCCTGAGGAGAAATTCCTCCAGCAGCCTCTTCTGCCCACCTCCCGTCCCCACTGTGGCATTCACATTCTCTGAAAAAATCCCTTTGCCCGGGGTTTTTCTCCTGGGAAGCTGAGATGCCTCAGAGAAAAGGAAAACAATTCTCGTCTCATTTGCTTCTCCGGTGTTTTGCTGCTGTGTGTGTCTTGGAATGTGTTTGGAGATTGTTTACCCACAGGTGATTGTTTTATTGGTTTCTGCTGTGAGTTGTTTTCACTCTTTGGCCAATCTGTGTTGGGACTCTGGAAAGAGTCACAAATTTTCATTTTTATCTCTTTTGCCTTCTGTAAGTATCCTTTCTGTATTCTTTAGTATAGTATAGTATTCTTTAATATCATGTAGTACCATAAAATAATAAATTAATTTATCACTACTCCATGAGAACATGGAGTCAGATCCATCACTCCTCCTTGCAAACACAAAGTGACCCCACACCAGTGCACAGACAGCAGCTCTGTGTCAGAACTGTCTCTCTGTGCAGCTCCAAGAGGACAAACAGCTGCACAATCCCAGCTCCCCTGTGGAAAAGGCCCGGACTGAGCCCATCCCTGCTCACCTTGGTGACCATCAGCTGGGCCACGGTGTTGGTCTCATAAATGGTGAGCATGGTCTCTGCCGTGACCTCCTCCAGCGAGGCCAGCACGTTGATGCCAGCGTTGTTGATCAGGCAGTTCAGCCCTTTGTCTCCCACGATTTCTTCCACTTCCTTCACCACTTTCTTGATGCTGTTCTCACAGACCACATCTGCACAGAGGAGGCAGGAAAAGCCCCAGGTGAACAGTGCAGGGTGTGCCTGGCACGGGACAACCCCTGCCAAACCAAAGCTGGGGCTCACTGGGGATGTTTGGGCAGCACACAGGTGGAAATGCACAGATTTTACAGAATAACATTTCCCCAGTGTTATCTTGAAATGGTTTTCACTGCTGGAGATCGTGTCCAGCTACTGATCACTCAGGAGACCAATTTTTTTAAGATGCACTCACCTAAGCTGAACAAATTTCAGAAATAAAGCTCTTTACTCACCCAGTTGCAGGAGCCTGATGTTGCTGTATTGCTTGCTGAGCTGCTGCAGTTCCTAGGAAGAAGAATTATTTTTATTATATATATATATACACACACATATACATATACATATACATATATATCCATGGCTACTGCAGAAATCACTTTGAATTCCGCACCTCCAGAACTACAACTGAAATATTTTCCTGGTTGGGCTGAAGGCAGAGATTCCCCTTTGTTTTCCAGCCTGCTGAGCAGCTTTTCTAAGAGCCAGATCAGGAAATTGGACTCTTCCCTGCTTAGTCCAGACTCCAGCGTGCTGGATTTTTAGTGGGATATTTCCCAGCTTTAGTGCTCGGTTCTCAGCATTCCAGTAAAAATCCAGTGCCTTCCCAATTCTGTGAGAAAATCCTAATTCTCCTGAAGCTCAGCTAGTGCTGGACACCCCTTCAGGGCGACAGGAATGCTTTTAAAACCCCATTTGGAATTTCTGTTTGCAGGAAAATTTCCCCGTGGAAATTTCATTTCCCCACGGGAATTTCATTTCCCCACGGGAATTTCGTTACCGTCACTTCTTGTAAGTGGAGGTGGAGCCCACCAAGAAATCAGCCTGGGGCACAGCCACTGTCCAGGAGAACAATTCCCTCCCTGCTGGAGCTCACTCAGGGCCTGTCGGCACTGCAGGCTGCTGTTCCTGCAGAAATCCCTGCTCTCCTCTGCTCCAAGTGTGTCCAGACTGGATTTATGGGCCCAGCTGGAGCTCTCAGGTTTCTGTGCCATGGAGCCAAGTGGGAAGCGTGGCCAAAGACAACAGATGGATTCCATATTCCCAGTCATGTTCAGGAGACACAGCACACCTGGCCAAACATTCCAGCCCCAGCAAATCCCTTTCTTTAGGAGCCCTTTGGGAATAGGGGTCAGGAGGGCAGGTTTGGAAAGAATCCTTCCCTGCCCCTTGGAGACACTGCGGGGACTCGCTGTGCTCTGACAAACCATAATGGATCACATCTTTTATCTCACAGCAGAGCCTGCAGGGCTCCCTCCAGGCTTGTTTGGGAGATTTTTGTTCTCCCACCCAGGCCAATCTACAACTGCAGTTAAGGCTATTAAGGGGAGGGGGAAGGAAAAACAAGTCAGAAGCACAAAACCAGAAGGCATTCCTTGCTTTGGGCAGGGCTCGGTGGGACAGATTTCCATAAATTAAAGGCCCAGAACACACTGGCTTGTTTATTGATGAAATAGTTCTGCCTTGTCAAGGCCTGCAGTAATCCTGTGCCTTTGGATTGTCACTGGATTTCAGTTTGACAGCATCACTCAGTGCATGATCAGCTCCAGGAGTGCTCTGGCTGCTCCAGGTTTGTCCATTTATTTATAGTTCATTTATTTATATGCTTTACTCTCTGACAGAAACGAGCTATCAGCTCCTGCTGAAAGGCAAGAGAGGCTGACAGGCTCCTGAAGTGAGCAAACAATATTTTCAATTAAGAACTGAAGCATTCTCCAGTACACAGACAGCAGGAAATCACAATAGCTGCATGCAAATTAGGTTTAAAATTCAGTGGGTTTTCCAGTTAATTACTTGGTTAACAAGTGACTCCCCATTCAGGGGTTTAAATTTCTGAGAAGCAGCTCCCAGGCACAAAGCTGATCTGGCCAGCTTTGGTCTTCAAGAATGTTACACCTGATAGAAGCTGAAAAATCCAGTTAGAACATCTAAAACTTGCAGGAAAGCCTATTTTCCCCCTCCTGTGACTAGAGGGAACATGAGAAAAGGAGGACTGAGACAAGGAGGCACAGCCAACATATCCCAGCTAAGGCATTTTTAATTAGTGTGCTGTGACAGATAATTTAAAAACAAACAAGACAAACAAAGCCCAACAAAAAGCCACAACACAACTCCCTAACAGGGTGTTTATTTAGCATAGTAGCTGCAGAACTGCTCGGCACCTGAACAATCATCCCTGAGAATCAGCTCGTGGGGAGTCCGAGACAAGAATTAAACTCTGATTAGCATCTGTTGTTTCCTGCTTGCTGATTTTTAATTATGATTAACAAAGAGTCAGCCTATTCTGATTTAAACAAGATCCTCTGGCGCTCAGGGCTCCAGACGCATCAGCACACAGGGTATTTATTGCTAGATTTCGAGCAGGAATGTTTTGTTGTCTTTGTCATTTAGCAAGATTTACTTTGCCTTCTTTATGAAAGCATTATCCACTTCGGTTACAGCTCTTGGAAAGGGCCTGGCCCAGCTCAGCCAGTTGGAAGCAATCAAGGCAAACAAACACAGCCTGAGAGCAGGATAAAGGTGCTTGGGTATCCTTCACCTCATCCTGCTTGCTCTGGGGACAAAGCCAGAGGTGTATCCTATTTTTCTGCGTCCCTCTGAGACAGCTTTTCAGTATCACAGTGTACAGCCAGCTCGCTGTTCAGCCCTGGAACAGCTTCCACAGCACTGCCCTGACCCACAGCCCTCTCTGCCTCCAGAAAATCCAGCCCTCGCTGCTGTAGGAAGTGTAAAACACTTCCAGAAAAAATAAATAATCAAACAAAAACGACTCTGCAATAACCCAAAATTAGAAAGACTTCAAGAATGCCCCCCTCTGCCTGATGTATATTCAGAAATGCCCCCTTTGCCTGATAAATCTGGCGCACAGATCGCTCAGCTGCTCTTCCCAGTTGCAAACCACATGGCTAAAATATGTGTTAGAGGGAAAAACAAGCCCCAGAGCTGACAGAGACAGTGAGCAGAGAGCTCTGGGCTGAGGAGGGACCAGGCACAGCCTGGGACTCAATCTCCTGCTCCAGAGAGAGGGAAAATGCACCTTTGAGCTTCCCCAAGCTCTGCAGAGGGATTTGCTCACCTGGGAACTCGCTGGGCCTTGGGGAGATGCTCCTGTGCACATCCCACAGCTCTGGGCGCTTTTTTATTGATTTATTCACCTCCTCCTTCCCCGCCACACCAGGGCCTGCACCGCTTTTAAGTGCAGACCTTTAGGGCAGAGTTTTCCCTTTTATAGGAAAGCAGGATGGGGGAGGAAGGAGCAAAGATGGAAAAGAGGAGTGTGGGGAGAATTCCAGCTTGTGCTGGCTCCCTGCTAACAGCACTGGGGCTGTGTCACTTTTTTTTTTTTTAAGATTTTCTAAGCTTTTTTTCTAAGATTTTTTAAGATTTTCTAAGCTTTTTTCTAAGATTTTTTTAATATTTTCTAAGCCTTCTGATGTTTATATTGTCATAACAAACTTTTTCCACGCACATTCTGTAAAGAACTTATTGTTTTGCATTCTTTTATGGAGGAGGAGAAATTTGACGGGCTGTTGGTTTGCTCAGTGTCATTGGAGGGGTGGCAACGGACAAACTGTCCATTTCCAATTCACTGTCACTTTTGGAAATTTATAAACGTCGGACTCAGAAAATAAACTCCCCTTTTTTCACCTTGAAAACAGCGGTGTGCCCGTCTGGAGGGCAAAACCAGGACACCAGGATTATTTCCCTGGAGATTTGTGGCTGCTTTTCAGCGCTGGAGCAGCTCGAGAAAAGGCAGAAACAACCCAAGAAAAGGCAGAAACAACCCGAGAAAAGGCAGAAACAACCCGAGAAAAGGCAGATTGGGATCAGAGTGGCTGGAGGAGGCTCCGGTGGTGTTTTCCAGCAGGGGCAGTGGTTATCTGCCTGCCTGCTGCACGTTATCGTGTGATCTGCAGCCCATTTGTTAAGCAAATGTTCTGGGGAGGCCACCTAGGAGCTCCTCAGGCCCGGAGCTCGAGTTTTCACAACTTCTGCCAGCACAGACTCACATGCAAAATCCTGCAGCTGTTGAGCATTACCCCAAGGTTGGGGAGCTACAGGAGATAGATATGCTGCTTTTCCTGGGGAAGAGAGCAAAGCACACCCGGGTCTCCCCAGCATCTTTGGAAAAGCAGCTCCTTAAGGGCTCCTCTCTGTCCACTCCTTGGAGGGCTCCAAAACATTCACTCATCACTCTGCTGAGGGATTCCTGCCCAGCGTGGAGCTGTGTTTGCCAGTAGTTAAGTGTATTTAATCGCTTTTCCTCTGAAAATTGGGAGATTGTTTTTAAGAGCCTTTTTATTTAAGCTCTGCCCATCTCCATTCTGCCATGGGAAAGTGCTGCTCTGCCAAAGCAGAGAGCAGAATTTAAAGGAACTGTCCAAAGGTTCATCCTCTCATGCAGTGGGGGACAATTCATTTGTACAAGGAGGATTTTTCACATGGTCAACAAAATACCAAGGGGAAAAAACCAAAATCAGACCACCTGAACTGCTGTCAGGAGAAAAAGCACTGACCCAGGTGTGCAGGGAAAGAAAAACTCCCTCAATTTCACAGCCCACAAACAGGTCTGAGATGGGCCAAGCCCATTTCATGTGCCCTGAGTTGAGCCTGCAGTGCCAATTCCTGGAGAGCAAAAACCTGAACTCTGGGAGTTCAAAATTTGACTGGGAATTCAGTGATGGAAGGGAGAAGGAAAGGGAGAAGGAAAGGGAGAAGGAAAGGGAGAAGGAAAGGGAGAAGGAAAGGGAGAAGGAAAGGGAGAAGGAAAGGGAGAAGGAAAGGGAGAAGGAAAGGGAGAAGGAAAGGGAGAAGGAAAGGGAGAAGGAAAGGGAGAAGGAAAGGGAGAAGGAAAGGGAGAAGGAAAGGGAGAAGGAAAGGGAGAAGGAAAGGAAAGGAAAGGAAAGGAAAGGAAAGGAAAGGAAAGGAAAGGAAAGGAAAGGAAAGGAAAGGAAAGGAAAGGAAAGGAAAGGAAAGGAAAGGAAAGGAAAGGAAGAAGGAAAGGAAAGGAAGAAGGAAAGGAAAGGAAGAAGGAAAGGAAAGGAAGAAGGAAAGGAAAGGAAGAAGGAAAGGAAAGGAAAGGAAAGGAAAGGAAAGGAAAGGAAAGGAAAGGAAAGGAAAGGAAAGGAAAGGAAAGGAAAGGAAAGGAAAGGAAAGGAAAGGAAAGGAAGAAGGAAAGGAAAGGAAAGATGACAAGAAAATCATGGAACTTTTGCCTTTCCTGCCACACTCAGCAGCACTGCCAGGCTGGAGCCAGGCTGTGAGAGCAGCAGCTGAATTTGGTGCTGCCAGGACCAGGATTGCCAGTGCTGAGGCTGGAGCAGGTCTGTTCTTGCCCTCTGCCAGCCCCAAGGAGCAGTGGGAACACTCTCCGAGGGTCAGAAAGTTTTGTGCCAGCTCCATGCTTTGCAGATGGGGCAGATAATGCTGGTGAAACCACTACAATACCTTTAGTAAAGATTTCTCTTCCTTGTGGAGTTTCCAAACCCATCTGTTAGAAATCTGCTTTCAGCTGACTGCAGAGGTTTCTATTGATGTCCTGCCAAGGCACAGCACATGGCCTGGAGGTCCTCACAGAGAACAAAAACCCACCCTGATCCACCAAGGACAAAACTTGCCCCCTGTAAAAAATGGAGCAGCTCAGGGTGCAGCCCGTGTGGCTGGCAGGGTCCCTGTGGGGCTGCAGGAATGTGGCTCCTGGCCAGGACACCCTGCCAGAGGCTTTCCAGGTTTCTCCCTCCAGCCAGGAGTGACCCAGACTCTTCCCAGACACATTGCACTGTCTGAGGGCTGCTCCATCTCCCTCTGCAGGTTTACAGCCCTTTTGCTGCAGATTTTTAAATACTGATAAAACAAAAAAACCCCAAAACTGATGAGTTGTGCTGAGATTTGTCCGTGTAATGTTTCCTGGGAAGCTCTTCCTGTTAAAGGAACAATTTCACTCCTCCATGTAATGGATCTGAGAGCATTATGATGAAAACAAAAAAATCATAATGTTTGTGAAAAAGAGAAGTTTCCTGCCTACAGGAGACACCCTGCCAGAGGCTTTCCAGGTTTCTCCCACCAGCCAGGAGTGACCCAGACTCTTCCCAGACACATTGCACTGTCTGAGGGCTGTTCCATCTCCCTCTGCAGGTTTACAGCCCATTTGCTGCAGATTTTTAAATAAAAATCACAACCACACACACACACAAAAACAAAAAACCAAACCCCAAAACTGATGAGTTGTGCTGAGATTTGCCCGTGTAATGTTTCCTGGGAAGCTTTTCCTGTTAAAGGAACAATTTCACTCCTCCATGTAATGGATCTGAGATCATTATGATGAAAAAAAAAATCACAGGGGCCAGTTGGAAAAAGAGAAAGAACCTCTCTCAGCAGCGGCTGGAGCAGCTTTAGGACAAACCAGCAGGCAGGGAGATTTTGATCTAGCACAGGTCAGATGTCTCTGCTGCCTTCCTGTGCCACTACTACAGCGGGCTCTTGTGCAATCTCTGTAGGAAATGGGGCTGGGAGCGGTGCCAGGAGGGGACGGGAGTTACAGGGACAGAATGGGTGAATTTCTGCTCAATAACAGGAGTTAAAGGGAACAGAATGGGAGAATTTCTACTCAATAACAGGAGTTAAAGGCACCGAATGGGGTGAATTTCTGCTCAGGTGCTCAATAACAGGAGTTAAAGGGACAGAATGGGTGAATTTCTGCTCAGGTGCTCAATAACAGGAGTTAAAGGGAACAGAACTGGGTGAATTTCTGCTCAATAACAGGAGTTAAAGGGACGGAATGGGGTGAATTTCTGCTCAATAACAGGAGTTAAAGGGGCAGAATGGGTGAATTTCTGCTCAGGAGTTAAAGGCACAGAATGGGGTGAATTTCTGCTCAATAACAGGAGTTAAAGGGACAGAATGGGTGAATTTCTGCTCAGGTGCTGCGAGGAGGGGATCAGGGGAGCCACAGGGAGCAGCAGCCCTGAAAGGGAGCTGTGCACCTGATCCCAGCCTTGCTGGGCTGTTTCTCTGCACTTTCATTCAGACATACCCTAAATGCACCTTTGTGCTGGAGACCTTTTTTTTAAATTAAGACCTTTTCCTTCAGTTTCATAAGGACCTGCAGAGCTCAGACTGCAGCTGTTACCTGGCCAGCCCTGTCCCACATCCCAGCCACCACCTTTTAGAGATTTTTTTGTAGCTAAGCAGTAACCAAAGTTGCTGTGTTTGGTTTATTGCTAGGACAGTGTGATCTCAATCTGTGTGAAAGGAACCAAATCCCTCGGAAGGAGCAGACACAGGGGCTCTGTTTCCCTCTGGAATTTGCATTTTTCCTCGCTGGAAATGCAGGGGAGATGCAGGGATGGGGCTGTGGGTGTCAGTTCTCCTTCCAAATGCCTGGGCAGTTCCAGAGAGGTTTGGGAAGGAGCAGAGGGATGGGCACCTGTGGGAGTTTCTGTGCTGCCCAAATTCCCCCTCTCGAGGAGAGCCGAGATCAGCCCGCACACACCGCGGGTGACACCGCTGGGCACAGAGTGACCGATCAGCCTCCCACTGTTTGAGAGGTGTGTGAAATTCCGTGAAATTGGAGTTTTAAAGACTCCTATAAAAGTCTACAGGAGTCCCAAAACCACTGCGATGCTGCAGCAGGAGGGACTTGGGCTGAAATGGGAGAGACAGAGAGAGAGAGGGAGAGCTGCAAGTGGATCCACGAGCAGCAGGTACCAAACCCTCCTGTTTCCAGCAGGAACTCGGAGCCCTGCCCAGCAGAGAGGGGAACTAAGAGAAGTGATTAATTCATTGCTCATCTGGGCTTTCTCAATTGCTGCAAGCGCAGCAGAGAACGGGAGGCAGAGCGGGCACACGGCTCCTGCTGGGGACACAGACACGCGTGGAGAGAGGGAGAGAAGCAAAGCTGTGGCGGGTTTCTCCCCTTTCTGGGAAAGGTTTCTGAGGGCTCCGGGCCGGGCAGATCTGGGCAAGGACAGCGCAGACAATTCCAGCAGCAAACCCAGCGAGAAACTCGGGGATGGACGGAAGGGGGTGGCAGGAGCGCTGGAGATGCTGCAGCTGCCCGGCCGTGTCCCGCTCGCTCTCCCGCTCCCGGGAACGCTCCCTGTCATGGATAAACCCGAGCTCCAGGCCCGGAGAGCTGCCCGGTATCGGCTCCACCCGCCCCGGCTCCTGCCCCAGCCCAGGAGCTCGGTCCCGGCTCTATCCCAGCCCTGCTCCATCCCAGCCCGGGAGCTCCATCCCAGCTCCATCCCCGGCCCGGCTCCATCCCCTCCCGGGCTCTCTCTGCCGGCACAGGGATGCTCGAGATGTTCCTCATTTCCAAAGTGCCTTCTCCTCCCTCCCGACGCCTTTACCCCTCTCCGGTGACCCCCAGCGCCCCCGGCCCGTTTACCTGCGCCTTCTCGGGGTACCGGCAGGTCGCAAAGACCAAATCCGGGGAGGGGCTGGCGGCTGCGAGCCCCCGCACCAGCCCCAGCCCGATGCCGCGGCTGCAGCCGGTGATGAGCACGGAGCGGCAGCGGGGCTGGGCCATCGCTGCCTCGGCTCGGCCGCTCCGCTCCGCTCCCGGCGCTTCTGGAGCCCACGCGGGTCTCAAACAACCTGAGCCGTGCGGAGCCGCCCCGGGCCCGCCCCCGCCGCGGCGCCGCCCCCGCCCGGCTCCGGGCACGGAGAGAACGGACCGGGGAAGGGGAATTGGATCTGCCCCTTCCCGGCTCCGGGCACGGAGAGAACGGACCGGGGAAGGGGAATTGGATCTGCCCTGTCCCAGCTCCGGGCACGGAGAGAACGGACCGGGGAAGGGGAATTGGATCTGCCCATTCCCGGCTCCAGGGCATGGAGAGAACGGACCGGGGAAGGGGAATTGGCTCTGCCCATTCCCAGCTCCGGGCACGGGGAGAACGGACAGGGGAAGGGGAATTGGATCTGCCCATTCCCAGCTCCGGGCATGGAGAGAATGGACCGGGGAAGGGGAATTGGTTCTGCCCCTGGGCTCTCACCTGGGGCAGCTTTGGTGGCCAAGCCTCTGCTGACACAACTGCAGCTCTGACACACTGAATTTACTGCTGGGTGAGGCAGCTTTGGGCAAACATGAAGGATTATTTCCAGGAAGGATGGGTGGGTGGCCAGAGCAGGTAGGTTTTATTGAGGAAAGCAGGTGGGATTTATCTGAGGAATGTGCATCAGCACCTGGCCAAGCCTGTGGTGTCTCCTACCAGCCAGGTTTCAGTGCTGTCCTTCAGAGCAGGAGGAATTGCACCAAAACCAGATCAGAAACCAACCTGAGGGAGCTTCTGACCCCTGAGAGCCACCAGAGGCTGAGAAAACAAAGCCATAACTCACCTGAAGGGCTGACAGCTGTTTACACACTCAGCTGCACGTGGGGCTTTGGATTTCAGGTGAATTTCTGCCAGCTCCAGCCACAGGACCCTGCCCTGCCCAGCAGCAGCACTGACTTCCTCAAAGTCCCAGCAAACCCACACGAGCTGTTCAGCCACCCCAAATGTTATCCTCCAATGTCCCAGCAAACCCATCCCAACATTTTTACCCCCAATGTCCCATCAAACCCACCCCAGCTGTTCAGCCACCCCAACATTTTCAGCCCCCAAAAGAGGCCCAAAGCCCAAGGGATGGGATTCTCCTCAAGCCCAGCTCTTCCTCCTTGTCCAGGTGAACAAACACAGCTCAGGAATCTCAGCTGGGACCTGCCAGCTACTCCAGAAATGCACTTCCCACCTCAAATCTTTGTGGATTGGGTGAATTTGTGTTTGGTGCCCAAAATTCCTGCCTTTAAGGGAATGGGGATTGAATTCCCAGTCTTGAATCTATTACAGTTTAAAAATCTTCTTCATTTTGCAGCAATTTCTTTCCTTATGAGTAGGCACAAGTGGTGTAGCTCATAAGAAACTCGAGTGAATGTAATAGAAAATCAAATACTTTAATGAAATTAGGGAGCATAAGAGTAACAGCTCAGATATACCACTAGAACTGATACTACTGGGCTGTGGGGCTCTGCTAATTGGGTTTTTAATTGCTCTGTTCATCAAGCATGCAGACTGACAAACTACCAATTCTTCAGAGTGTCAAAGATCCTGAGTCAAGAATTTTCAACCACTTCAAATGGATATATAGGAAATGTCTTCTGAGCTGGTGGCCTGCACACAGCATTGCACAGATAAAAATATTCTACTCTCAATGCACAGAGCTAAATACTTTCACATTTATCAGAATTTTCTACACAAGTCTCTTTTTTTTTTTTTTGGATAGAATTCAAGTTTTTTGAATTTTTCTGTATGTATCTTCACCTGTATTAAACAAATGCTTATTTACATTGTGGGTAAAGTGTAAAGGCTAGGAAGGCCGTTTTCCCATACTGGAACACTGCAAAATATATATATATATATACACAGAGAACCTAATATAGGCAACAGGACTAAAAAACAAACAAAAAAATCACCTCCCACCTGTACAACAACACCGAGCCAGCATGAAAAGAGGGCATTGGTAGCACCAAACCACTCCTGGGGGGCTGAGGAGCTTTCCAGCCCCACAGGGAAGAGCTGCTGGGCACAGCATTCCAAGGATGGGCAGCCTGCAGGGCCTGCACTGCCCTGGGGATGGGAATCCTGAGGAGCAGCACAGGAGCTCCCTGGGAGGGTGACAGTGGCACTGCTGACATCATCTGTCAGTCTTTGCTTTGGATTCAGGGGTGGGCACAAACTGCTGGCTCAGGAGCCAGATTAACCCTGCACAAGCCATGGGGAGTGAGCTCTGCTGGCAGAGGGAATTAGCCCTGGTTCACCAGTGGTGCCAGAGGCAATTCCCAAGGGAAGCAGCCCCATCTCACCAACTGTGCCTGGCTGCTGGAGGAAATCCCTCAGCAAACAGCCCTGGTGGCCATTCCCTTGGGAAGCAGCCCTGGTGGCCATTCCCTTGGGAAGCAGCCCCCAGCTCTGTGCCCGGGTGCCAGAGAGAATTCCCTCAGGAAGCACCCCAGCTCACCAGAGGGAATTCCCTCTGGGAATTCCAGGAAGCAGCCCTGGCTCACCAGGAGGAATTCCTTTGGGAAGTAGCCCCTGGGGCTCACCAGCAGGAATTCCCTCAGGAAGTGGCCCTGGGCAGGAATCCTCTTGGGAAGCAGCCCTAGCAGGGCTCACCAGTGAGAATCCTCTTGGGAAGCAGCCCTAGCAGGGCTCACCAGTGAGAATCCTCTTGGGAAGCAGCCCTGGCAGGGCTCACCAGCAGGAATCCCCCCAGAGCAGCCCCAGCAGGACCCACCAGTGAGAATCCCCCCGGGAGCAGCAGCGGGGCTCACCAGCTGTGCCCAGGCTGCTCTCTCTGTCCGTCTGTCTCTCACCAGCTGTGCCCAGGCTGCTCTCTCTGTCACCGGCTGTGCCCAGGCTGCTCTCTCTGTCTGTCTCTCTCACCAGCTGAGCCCAGGCTGCTCTCTCTGTCCGTCTGTCTCTCACCGGCTGTGCCCAGGCTGCTCTCCCTGTCCGTCTGTCTCTCACCAGCTGTGCCCAGGCTGCTCTCTCTGTCCGTCTGTCTCTCACCAGCTGTGCCCAGGCTGCTCTCTCTGTCCGTCTGTCTCTCACCAGCTGTGCCCAGGCTGCTCTCTCTGTCTCTGTCTCTCACCGGCTGTGCCCAGGCTGCTCTCTCTGTCCGTCTGTCTCTCACCAGCTGTGCCCAGGCTGCTCTCTCTGCCTGTCTGTCTCTCACCAGCTGTGCCCAGGCTGCTCTCTCTGTCTCTCACCGGCTGTGCCCAGGCTGCTCTCTCTGTCTGTCTGTCTCTCACCAGCTGTGCCCAGGCTGCTCTCTCTGTCCGTCTGTCTCTCACCAGCTGTGCCCAGGCTGCTCTCTCTGTCTCTGTCTCTCACCAGCTGTGCCCAGGCTGCTCTCTCTGCCTGTCTGTCTCACCAGCTGTGCCCAGGCTGCTCTCTCTGTCCGTCTGTCTCTCACCGGCTGTGCCCAGGCTGCTCTCTGTCTGTCTCACCAGCTGTGCCCAGGCTGCTCTCTGTCTGTCTGTCTCACCAGCTGTGCCCAGGCTGCTCTCTCTGTCCGTCTGTCTCTCACCGGCTGTGCCCAGGCTGCTCTGTCTGTCTGTCTGTGTGTGTCTCACCGGCGGTGCCGGCTGTGCCCGGGGTGCTCCCTGTCCCTCTCCCTGTCCCTGTCCCTGTCATAGCGGTGCCCTCTCTCGTAGGAGCGGGCTCTCTCGTGCCGGTGGTTGCGGTAGTAGTGTCCCTGTCCTTTCTTCTTGTACTTGCCCGCGTGCTCGGGGCGCTCGCGGGAGCGGCTGCGGGAGCGGGACGAGCTCCGGGAGCGGGACCTGCGGCCCTTGTGCCCCTCCTGGTATTTGCTGTAGTCCTTGGATTTCTTGTAGCCGCGGCCCTTGGAGCCCTTGTAGGCAGAGCCGTGGTTGAGCTGCCTCGGGGGGGAATCGCTGCGGCTCCGCGAGCGGCTCTGGGACTTGGAGCCGCTGGACGTGGAGTAGCTCTCGCTCTTCCTGCAAGGAGAAAACAGAGCAAATGTGGCTTGCTTCAATTTGAACAACTTCAGTCTGGATTTTGCTGCTTTCTGGGATTTTAAGACCTTTCCTCCTCATTTTGAATTGGAAGAACTTCCTTCTGTATTTTGCATTTCAAGAATGTCCTTCCGTATTCTGCTATTCCCTTCAGTTTGAAGAATGTCCTTCCTCATTTTGCTGTTTCCTGGAATTTGAAGAACATCCTGCTGTACTTTGAATTTGAAGAATGTCCTTCTATATTTGGAATTTGAAGATCACCCTTCTGCATTTTGAATTTTAAAAACATCCTTCTATATGTGGAACTTTAAAAGCGTCCTTCTAAATTTGGAATTTTAAAAATGCCCTTCAGCATTTTGAATTTTAAGACCACCATTCTGCATTTTGAATTTTAAGAATGCCCTTCTATATTTTGAATTTTCTGTATATATATTTGGAATTTTAAGACCTTCCTTCTGTATTTTGAATTTTCTGTATATATATTTGGAATTTTAAGATCTTCCTTCTGTATTTTGAATTTTAAGAATGCCCTTCTACATTTTGAATTTTCTGTATATATATTTTGAATTTTAAGATCTTCCTTCTGTACTTTGAATTTTAAGACCACCCTTCTACATTTTGAATTTTAAGAATGTCCTTCTGCATTTTGCTGTTCTCCCATGAGAACTCATCTTGTGTCCTGAACTTCTACCTGGCTCCAGTAAAAATGCTGATTTTCAGGAACTCCAGTTCCAGTGACACTGTGAACAGCCACAGCTGGACTCACTCTGGAGTTCCAGCAGCAGCAAACTGGGTCCCCTCAGCCTCCTGGTGATGGATTATCACAGCTGGCACTGGGAAATCAGACTGGAGGCACTGGGAGCACACCCTACAGGATCCCCTCAGCCTCCTGGTGATGGATTATCACAGCTGGCACTGGGAGGCACTGGGAGCACACCCTACAGGGTCCCCTCAGCCAGTTGGTGATGATCTATCACAGCTGGCACTGGGAGCACACCCTACAGGGTCCCCTCAGCCTCCTGGTGATGGATTATCACAGCTGGCACTGGGAGCACACCCTACCTGTGCTTGGGGGATGCAGACCTCGATGGGGACCTTGAGTAACTCTGATCTCTGCTTCCACTTCGACTCCTGCTCTCTCTTCCTTTCTGGACACTGCCAGACACAAAGAACACTCAGTTATTTTGTTTTAAAGACTCATGGGATAAAAATCAGCTGTTTCCTTATCAAACCTTACCCATTGACTGGGCTGTTGGAGCTGGTTCTCTTGGCTCCCTCTGTTTTCCTTTTGGCATTCTTCATGGCCTGCACAGGTAGGGGTGAGGGTTTATTTCCTTTCACCTCTTTTGGAGACTCTGCAAGAAGAAGCCTTTGTCACCTCTTTGGGAAGTACCTGCAAGGACTTGAGGCTCCTCTCAGCCCAAGTCTGCACCAGGCAGAGCTCACAGCTGGGCTCTGCACACACAGCCACCCACAAGCAGATCTCAACAAGTTCACAGAGAGCAGAAATTCACTGAAACGTTTCTGCCAAAGGACTGAAGTCACTGCAAGAAAAGGCAGAAAACCACCCTCCTTTCCTTGCCAATTATTCAGCATGGTTTGAAAGGTAAACTGGGGAAGAAGAGGGTGAATGTTGTCTTCTAGGTGAGACTGCACCAGACTGGAAACTTTAACCAACAAATTCCTCACCCAACATCCCAAAATGCTACCCCTGCCAGAGCACCTCTGCTTCAATATTGCATCAACACAACATGCCAGGGGCAAGGATTTGAGTTTATTGCCAAATCCACATAAAAACAAGCCCCTGGCTTGTATGGGTTTAAACTAGTCTTAATTTCAGACTAATTTGATTTTAGCTTTTATCTGATTCAAGAAATCACAAAGCTACACTGCTATTCAAACCCTGCCAGTTGAGTGGTGTTAGGAGCCATCTTACAAAAATCCCCAACAAACTCCAAACCACACTTGTAAAAGCTTCCCAAAAGGGTAAATACACATGAAAGACGTGAAAAAGAGTTAGTAAAAATGAGTTATCCACTATTTACCATTTTTTGGGATAGGGGAAAATCCCGATGTGTTATCCAAGCTCGGAACTCCCTCAGGTACCAGACCTTTAGCTTGTGCTTTTGCCTCTTCAATAGCCAATTTCTTCTTTTCTATTTTACTTTCCAGATCAGATAAATCCACCTGTGAACACAGGAGCACTGCTTGTGAGAGCTGAATTTCCTGCTTACCCACTCCCAGGGAGGGGAATGAGAATCCAAAGAGTCCCAGGCAGTGACTGCTCTTTGTTCACTTCCAGCTGTGGTTTTAAAAGAGCTCAAAATTTCCCAACTCCTGCTCTGAGCTGCAGCCTTCACTGAGGGCTCCCAACATGAAAAAGAACCAAACCTTTTTCCTCGTGTAGAGCTGCAAGATTTTTAAGCAGATTTCTTGAATTTCTTCCTCTGTTGCTCCAAACAGTAAAAACCAATGCGGGCGATTTGGAAGAGGGATCTGAAAGGGAGACACAGACAAAGCTCAGATTTTCTCCTCCTGTTAAAAAGACTTGAAAAAAAAACCCAAATCCATGGAAGTGTGGCTCACCTCCAGTGTCCTGGCTGCCAGGTAAATGCAGGCACAGGCAATGCTCTCTGGCTGGAACCTCACAAACACATCAGTTCTCAGGCTGTCGTTCATGTAGTTCCTGAAAAACAGGAGAGCAGGAGGTTGCAAAGCACTGCAAAGCTCCTTGGGGCTCTGGTTTTGGGTTTTTTTGACTTGGTTTTACTTCTACAAGGGCTATTTCTTTCTGCATTCAGTTACTAGACTTCAACATTATATTCCTGTAAATCTAAAGAGAAGCTGAATGATTTTACTACAAGAAAAAAAATCAAAGAAATAACTAAAATTAAATCCCTCAAGGGGAGGGATGTGTGACAGAAACAAAGTCTGACTGCTGAAAATTCAGTGGTGAGAAGAGAACCAATTTTAACTTCACTTTTGCTGCTGGATCTCTACTGGCCTGCTCTCATGCAATAAACAAGTTCTTTTCACCAAGACAACATTCAGTGTGCTCAGAAATACTCAGATATAGAATTTTAGGTTCACATGTGCCCCTGCAATAGGGCAGAACCAGGTGTGTGGTAAAAGCTGCAGCTCCTGGAGCAGTTGTCCCATGAAATCCAGTCCTCTTCAGCACAGCTCAACTCCCAGGGGGGTTTAAGGGTCCATTTCCATCCAGAACTGAATTCTTTTTGATGCAAAAAGTCAGCCATAGGAGAAATCAGGGTGTTTGGGAAGATCAGTTCAGGAGAACAGTCAGAATTCAGGCAGATCTCCTCTTTGGCACATGAAATAAGGTTTCCAAATTGTCCCATTTCAGTAAGGTTGCTTAAAATGAATATTCACAGAATGAGAAAACTGTAAAATATTGCACATATTCCAGTCAGTATAATTAAGCATTATTTGTTGTTAAATCTTAAATACACAAAGTCAATTCCTGTGAATCTGTCAGCTGATGTGCTTTAGAAGATCTAGACTTGAGAGCACATATGTCAATAAAATATCAGATGAGAAAAACTAAAACCAGACATCATAAAAGTCCTTAAAATAATACTTTAAATAATAATTAACCATGTGGGTACCCAGCATACAAGGATTCACTGACCCCCAAGGTATCCAAAGCAGAGACCACAGGCACCTGCAAGGTTTACAAGGACAGAGAGGAGGGATTGGAATCCCAGGAGTTTCCAACTCCCACCTGTCCTCAATTCTTCTTTACACAAACAGCAACTGCTGCCCCAAAAAAGCAACACTGGCCATCAGCTCATCTTTGGGGGAGAAAGGAACTCCTAAACTTGCTGCTGTCCCACTACAAAGAGAGCACAAACCTTTTGGCCAAAGGAATTCTAAAGGCAAGGTTGACTTTGAACATCTGGAAGCTACAAAGCTTTTTTATTTCTGACTTGCCAAATTGAGAACCACACCAGCTTCCAAGTTTGGCCTCTGCACATCTTCCCTGTGGGCTCAGTCAGACACAGGAGGAAATGAATCCTTGTCACAATAGCTTAAGAAAAAGGTCATGTTGGAAAAATGCACATTTCAAAAACCAATGACACTGGATACCCAGCAGTTTCTGGGTACTGGAAGCACCAAACACGAGCACACAGATGTGTTATTGTAACACCTGACCCCTCTCCCAGCTGGGGTCATTCCCTCCCTGCCCTTCCCCTCCCCTCCTTCCACAACCAGCACATTCCTGGCAGTCCAAAATCCCATTCCACTGCTCCATGCAATGCTTCTGGGAAGTGTCTCTAAATATCACATTTTGTCTCCAAGCTTCACACACGTACTGGTTTTTTCATTTAAACATTTGAGATAATTGTATCTTTCAAACTATTCATTTTTTTTGTTGTAAATTCATCCCTTTTAAAGCTTTAAACCCCACCTTAATTCACTTTATCATATAAGCAACACACCACATTTATAACAGTTAAAGAGAAATAGAACATTTAAAAAAAAAAAATTCATTCAGAACTTCAACGCTCAGGTTATCAAATATACAAACAATCAAAAAATGCAGAGTAAAAATAAAAAAAAAAATAAAAATAGAAGCACAAGAAGCAGTTGGCCAGTTACTCTACTATCATGTATATACCACCTGTCTAGAGCCAGCCTTCTCTTTGGAGAGCTTTGGGTTGACTGAAGACGGCAGCTATCCCTGCACCATGGGCAGCAGAGGAGAAGTCTTAGTCACTTACCCTCAGAGGCTACCCTTTGATCAAAAGAGTACAGAAAAGAAAAGTCAAAACTGGTTCTCTACACACAGCTCACAGTACCAGACAGTTCAGTCAGCAGAAATATGGTCTTTGGATTCACTAAAGGTGGTTTTTTGTTGGTTTTTTTTATTGTTAAAAAAGTATTATTTGGTAAAGTTTAAGACGTGGAATTTTACAGAAGCTTCCCACCCCCGAGTAAATATTTATTAAATGAGAGCAATAAGGCAGAGAACATTTCTAGGCAAATATGAATCCAGGCTATGCATCTATCCACTCTTAGAAGCTGACATCCTGCTTTATCCACATAGATAACAGAAATTTATCTGTGCTGAGCTTTAGATACACCTGAAATCAAACTCAGGCCCTGGGAAAAGCCATTTCCCAGCACTGGGAACAAACTCGAATTACACCCAAGTTTTCCCTGAAGAAAACCCCCAAGGGAACAACTCTAAACCCACCCAAGCTTTTCCCTTCAGTTGGAAAGTGAGAGCAGAGAGGAGGGAAGTGAGGAGTCAGGGTGGAAAGCTACCTTACCATTAAAACACTGCCTCGAACTTAAGAGGCCGCTCAACTTTTGGGAAGTACTTTGGGGCACACCAAGGACAGTGGAGCTGTCTGGGGTGGCCCCAAGCACTGCTGAGCAATCCTGCCCAGTGCCTCAAGTGACATATTTCTGCTACTGCCCCTTCTGGTCTCTTAGAACAAAGAAAATCAACTTACCATGAGGTCTGGACCAGGTGTTGGTTACGTTCACATTCTAATACCTGAAGGTACATAACGATTATCTGGAAGATATGGGTCATTGAGTTATTAACCAGCATCTGGAGAGCCACCTGCTTACTTCAGAGGGACATCCATGAGGCATCTGTGATCCTCTTTCAAGGCCTAAAACACTCCACATCAAGTGTTTGCACCATCCCCAGTGTTTATCCACACCAGCTCTGACCTTCTGAGCCCTTCTGTCCTGCTACTCAGCCAGGCCTTGGCTCCACACCTGGGTTTGGTTTAGGGATTTTGTGGATGGATTTTCATTGAGGGATTTTGTGGATGGATTTTGTTCTCCTACAAGCCTCACAAAGCCTTGTTTTAGCTGCAGCCTGGTGCAATCAGCAGTGAGGGAAGTTGGCAGTGCTTGCAGAGAACAGATCTAATACTGTGCCAGGGTTTGTTCAGCTCTGAGGGGTTTTCCTCAAGTTTGGAAGGAAAACAAGGCTGCAGAGAGGAAGGATAATGGCAGAATTCACCCCAAAAAACAAACTACAGCTGCCCTCTGGGGTGGGTGACAAAAGGAAATTCTGAATGTCAAGAAGCTCAAAAAGGCAGCTCTGAACAGAAGTTTTTAGAGGAGAAAAGAGCAAGAGCCCGAATTGTGCTGGCACAGAAATACAAGTTCTTTTACCACTTCAGGCACAATTTAAACATTTGAGGCAATTGTATCTTTCAAGTATCATCCACTCTGACACTTGTTACTTCTCTATTGAGCCTTGCCTCAGTTCCAGCCAAGCCTGAGCGTGGTTTTAACACACTCCAAAGTGGCTCCCAGATCTTTAATACCTCAGCACGTTCCCAGCAGGAGTGACCACGACAAGCCCAGGCCTCCAAACTCCTCCCTGCTTGGGGGAATCTAAATTGAGGTGATGTTTTCTACCACCACAGCTACCTACTGATCCAATCTGCCTTCCAGGAATAATGAGCACCTGCATCCACCTCGCCGTCACTCAGCAGTGATACGAGACCAATTAGTAAGAGTCTCTTAAATGAGAAAGAAAACATCAGGATGGTAAGAAACTAAATCTCACTGAGTTCACTGATCATCATGTGCAGTCCACAGAGCTCCCAGGCAGCCTCCTCAAAGCTTTACAGAACACAAAACCTTGGTTATGGAGTGAATTTATAAAGTACAAACCTTATGAGGGTGCTTCACGTGAACACAAAATCCCAACTCCTTCAACACTCTTCTTTCTGCCTTAATTATCTGATTCTTCAAGTTCACATATTCTTGATCCAATATTAGAGGCACAGGTTTTCTGCAAGACAAGGTCAAACTCACAAGATTATCATCTTAACCCTTAAGAAAACTCAGGTTTGAGTTGTGTAAAAATAATAATAAAAAAATCATTATTTAGAACATCAAAACTATTGATGTATTAAAACAGGTCAGCTCACTTCATGAGATCACTCTGAAATTATCCCTGCTTTATGAAACAGGGAATGATGCTGTTGTGAAGTTTAATAATTTAAATACAACACAGATAGTTCAGATAATTCTGAATTCTCAGCTTACTTTTTCTCCCTCAGGTGTCTGAGGCGATGGAACACATTGATCACATCCCGAATGCGTCTGGGGGCTTCCTCAATTTTGGATGCCAGATGGACACAGGCCATGGAAACGTGCTGAAAAATGAGCACAAAATAGAATATTTTCTATATTTCATTTCCACTTCGGGAACTGAGCTCCTACAAAAGCTTATGGAGGGGGAAAAAACATGGTAAAACAAGAAAATACCAAATATTTGACAAAAATCACTATTAAATAGCTTTGTAAAATCATGTTTCTCTATAACTATAAAACTCCAGACTAGTTCCTAACACTGATCACATCTCAGATAACAGCTTGCCAAGAGAGATCAGAAGATAAATATGGCAACAAATGTCATTTAATGCCCTCTTACCTCCATGGAATGCTTCACAAAAGACTTGGTATAAAAGAAACGCTGGAATAGCACCTGTCCTGTAGCCATAGCCACCTAAAAAAAGAGATAATCACAGCAGCGTTGAACAAAATTACCAATTCCAAAGAGAATTTTTAATAGATTTAAGATCTAGAAGATAGGAGGAAGCTTAATGGTATCTAAAGAAAACTAGAATTGCTAAAGTAATCAAGTTGCCCAAAATGTTAGCAATGCCTTAAATACTGCCTACAAGTCAAATGCAGACAGCAAACCCCAACTTTCTTTTATAAAAAATGTGAAAAATATGCCCTAAGTTATTAAATTAATAATGAAAACCAAGAAAAATCCAAGAATCCAATATAATTCAAAGTTATGAAAGTACGTCAGAAAAATATTTGCTTTTTGGGCGTGGAAAGTGAGGAGCACTCTAATCGCGTCATGATTTGCATACATTTGAATATGCTAAGGCTCCGTAGCCTGGAAAGTTTTACGCTCAGAGAGCAACGAGGCTCTGTTTGGCCTGAAGTTCTGCGTGGAAACAAAAACCTCGCTGAGGTCACCAGGGCTGCAAAGGAGCCTTAGGAAATCCGCCTTTGCACAATCCCCACGCGGAGGCGGCGGGGGCGGCGCTGACATCACCGGCTTCCGGCAGCCAGCGGCCCGGAACGGCCCGGAACGACCCCCGAGCACCGGGCGGCCCCGAACGAACCCCGCACACCGGGCGGCCCCGCGGCCTGCCCGGCCGGTAACCGCGGGGAGGCCCCGGGGCCTGCCCGGCCGGTAACCGGGAAATCGCACAAAGAAGAGCCCAGCCTAGCCCCTGTTGAGTCTTGGCCCCATGCCTGCCCGCGCCCAGCCCCACCTGCGGCAGCCGCAGCAGGATCCCGGCCGCCTGGATGAGCTCGCAGCCGGTGACGCGCAGCTCGGTCTCGGTGTCGGGGTCTAGGCCGCTGCTCATGGACGGCGTGAAGCGCAGCGTGTGCTCGGGCAGTAGGCAGTTCTCCAGCGTAATCAGCACGCCCGAATACAGCCGGTCACCGATCAGCACCGCGCCGGGACCCGGTACCGGGGCGGGAGCCGCGCCGGCCGCCGGAGGGCCCGCGGGGCCACCGCCCGCTGCTGCCGCCGCCGCCGCCATTTTGTGCCGCCGCCGCCTCGCTGGCTCCGCGCTCCGTCTCCTTCCCCCCCAGCATCCGCCCGACGCTGATTGGCGGAGCGCGGCAGGGCCGCGGCCGCTGATTGGCTGAGGGGCCGTGACGCAGGACGCCGCCCGGGCCGCGCGCGGCGCGGTGACGCAGCGGCCGGGAATCCGGACAGGGCGGGGCCCTCAGGACCCTCAGAGCCGGGGCCGCCCCGGGACGGGCGTTAGGGGCTGGAGCGCAGCGCTCACCGAGTTTAAGATCTTTGTTAACTCCGTTAAACACCACACTATGCGCTCACCCAGTTTAATATCTTTGCTAACTCCCTATAAAACCACACTAAGCGCTCACCGAGTTAAATATCTTTGTTAACTCCCTAAAAATCCACACTATGCGCTCACCGAGTTAAATATATTTGTTAACTCCCTAAAAAACTACACAATGTGTCTCCTTAACTTGGGGCCTGCCGAGGTTCGTGTGTGAGGGCCAACATGCCGCTCCCCACCCTGGTTGGGTTTTCCCCGTGCAGCACTAGAATTTCACCAGAAAAATTGTTTCCCTCTGGCAGTTACCAACAAAATGTTGTACCAAAAATATGTTTAATATTAAGTCCTTAACAGAACAGGCTATGTTTGTCCTTCGCCTGAGGGTTGTCGAGGTTCGTGTCTGAGGGCTGACATCTCCCTCACACTCTGGGCTGTTTTTTTGCTGTGCATTGCCAGAACTCACCACAAAAATTGTTTCTCCACAGCAATTACCAAAAAATTACCTTTATAAGTTCTGATAAAGTTCTTAAAATTACCTTTATAAGTTCTTATGTGTGTCCTTAGCACAGGGGCTGTGTGTGAGGGTCAACATCCTGCCCTCCCTCCATCCCCCGGTTGTATTTTCCCAATGAAGTGCCAGAATTAACACAAATTGTTTCCCCATAGCAGTTTTCAATAAAAATCTCTTTATTAAATCTTTAGAAGTACAAACTATGTGTATCCTTAACTCCCAGGCTCCACTTGTGAGGGTCAACATTCCCTCCCATCCCAGTGTTCTCTCCATTCAGAATTCACCACACAAATTAAGTTTATTTTCTACTAGCAGTTACCAAAAAAATACCTTTATTAAGCCACTGTATGGCCTGACTGCTAACCTTGAAGTGTGCTTTTAATTTAACAGGTTTCAGTGACAACAACACAGGGAAAAAGCCATCAAGGAGAAGCTTCACACGCACACGATCCTCAGAGGATTTGTTCCACATTTTCCATTTTTCAGCAGCAGTCACACAACAGGTTTGCTTCACAATCAAATCCCTGCTTCTAAAACACACACACAGGCTCTGATATCAATAGTGGTGGTGCACAATACGTGAAAATATCCCCTCTGGTTCTTTTCCATCTCCCAGGGCAGCCAGGAACCCTTCCTGTCTCCTCCTCTGGGCCAAAGCTGCCAGGGATTTGAATGTCTTTGGCTCATAAATGGCCAAGTCAGCCAGAACTTTCCTGTTCAGCTCCACCTGCGACTAAAGGCAAGAAAAAAATTGTTGGTTAAGGACTGTGATTTTTAGGAACAAACACTGCAATGCTTAGTTTTAAATATATTTAAGTTACATAGACTTTATTAAATATAGTAAAACTTTAATATTAAATAAAATTAAATGTATTAAATATAATGAACACCCTTTATTAAATATAATGAACACTCTTTACTGTTTATATAAACACCCTTCATTAAGTATGATTAAACACACTAAAGCCTTAAGACCTGAGTCTTAAAGCAGATTAACTTTTTTCTACCCTGTGCAATTTGGAGCTTTTAAAGATTGCCAGACACTCCCTGGCCATGGATGTCTCATTAATCCACCATGTAAAAATTATTTTCTGATTTTCTCTCAAGCTTTTCTGGTAGAAACCAAGAACTGAAGAAAAATCTCTAGTTTTGCCTCAAGGTCAGGTTAATCCATAGCATCTATTTCGACTCAAACAAATTAAAACAGAATCACCAAACTGAAACAAATTCCCAGCATGTTTTAAAACCAAGGGACAATGGCACCAAGTTTCTGCATTCTCCACGCTCACCAAATCACAATTATAATGAAAAGAATAAGGATTTCTTAGGTTTTTGGGTTTTTTGCCCACACAAGCTTTGTATTTTTAAATTTCTTGAAGTAGAAGGAAAAGCAGCTGTCACTGAATGCCCACAAAAAAGCATTTAAAAAATCTCGTAACTTTTGGGGACAGAACATGAGGTAAAGCCACAATGTTCACCAGGATAAAAGGGAAGAAAAATAGTTTAGGGCAGAACTTCATTCCTGAAGTGGATGAAACTGCTTTCACAAGCCTTTCATCACTCTAATTAGTAAGTAATTATCCTCCAAACCACATCCTTACCTTGGCCAGGTTGCTTATGAAGGCTGGGTACTTCAAACCATGTTCAAGGGAAGCTGCTTCAATCCTTGTGATCCAGAGCTGAAGGTATAAAAATCAATATATTGCATGATAAAACACTTTAAAATAAACCCTTTGCCACACTGGTCTGCTCACACTTATTAAATATAAATTATAATATTTTCACGGAATATCCTGAGCTGGAAGGGACCCACAAGAAAATGCTGCTTTGAACTCCAACTTTTCCCTCATTGTTTTAAAAGAAACCCCCCCAGAGTAAGAAAAGCAGGTGTTTCACTCCTGCCTGGCTCCCATTTTGATGTTTCCACCCAACATTTTGCTCTTTACCGCTCTGAGGAATCTTTTCTTCTCCCTCCTGGCCTTGGTGGACTTGACGAAAGCCCTGCGGACGCTCCTCACTGCCAGCTTGTAGCAGCGGTTCTTCCTGCCACGAAAATGCTGCAAAAAAACCCCCAGAATGGTCCTATTTAATTAAATTTAAATATATAACACTAATAAAGCTCATTTGCATTCTCAGTTCTGCGTAATAAGAATCGCTGAACCCTTCACAAAGGGTGAAGGCCTGAGGGTTCGCGCCCTAAGCCTTCAGTTGGCATATAATGAAAATATTCTTTTTATCGTGGAAATATGTGGAATATAATATCATATGGAATATAATAGCATGGAAATATATTTTTTTCATGAAAAATCTGAAGCTGAGGAGTTGGAGCAGGGTGGAAAAATCTCCGTTTAGCAGAGGCAACACCAGGCCTCACTTTAGGCTGTGCTTCTGTGGGAAAGGCAATTACAAAATCATGGGCAATGCTTTCACCCAACACTGAATTCACATTTATTCTCATTCCTGAGCTCCCCTCTGTTGTGTCTGTATGAACACAGGGATGGGGCAGGAACATTTATCAAACAGAAAAAAAAAATTAAATTTGTTCTCTGGCATCCATCTAACACAACACAGGGAAAAAGCAGCCAGTGCTGCACCAGAAATAACTGGTACAAAACCAAAATATTGTATCTTTTATCAACATTTTCTATCTCAGTATTACAGCAAGATGTAATTTTAAGAATTTTATCATAGTGCTTAGGATGCCCTTGAGAAAGGTTCATCCCTAGCTTCGGCACAGCAGCTTGCACTCCGGCACAAGTCCTTGAGAACAAGGTTAATTTTTTCTTTGCCCAGTAAAACAAACAAAGAAAAAACACTCAAAAGGAAACACAACCAGCACAGCTGTATTTAGCGAAACACAGCTCACTTTACAGCACGAGAAAAGCCCAGAACGGTTCGGGTGGGAAAGGGAGCTCCGAGCGCACCCGGTGCCACCCCTGCATGGGCAGGGACCCGTCCGGCTGCTCCAAAGCCCGACCAGCACCGCAGGGACGGGGCATTCGCGGCTCCGGGACCGTGCCCGGGGCACACGGCAGTGCCGGGGGATGCGGGGACAGCGCCGGCGACCCCGCACTCACCCGCGCGTACTTGAGCACCTCCTGCACCCTCCAGAAGCGATCCGAGAGGCGGCTGCGCACCCAGCGCGCCGCGCTCAGCACCACCATGGCTGCGGCACGGTGCCTGCCTGCCTGCCTGCTTTCCTTCCTTTCTCCCTCCCTGCCTGCCTGCTTTCCTTCCTTTCTCCCTCCCTGCCTGCCTGCTTTCCTTCCTTTCTCCCTTCCTGCCTGCCTCCGTGCCTGCCTGCTTTCCTTCCGGGGCGGCACCGACCTGCCCGGCCCTCCCTGAGCCTGCCTCAGAGCCTGGCCGCCAGGCTTCCCCACAGCCGGCCCTCGAGTGTGGCGGAGCTTCCTCTGCTCCTGCTCCCGCTGCTTCCTCTGATCCTGCCCCCGCTGCTTCCTCTGATCCTGCCCCGAGCCTTCCCGGAGCTTCCTTCGGACCTTCCCCCGGTTCTTCCTCTGATCCTGTCCCCCAGCCTTCCAGGAGCTTCCTTCGGACCTTCCCCCGGTTCTTCCTCTGATCCTGTCCCCCAGCCTTCCCGGTCCTTTTTCCAGTCCTTCCCCCGGTGGTTCCTTTGATCCTTCCTCTGGTTCTACCCCCGACCCTTCCCGGTTCTCCCTCCGATCCTTTCCCCTGAGCCTTCCCGGACCTTCCTCCAGTCCTTCTTCCAGCCTTTCCCCAGGTCCTTTCTCCGGTTCTTCCCCCAGCCCTTCCCCCGGTCCATCCCCCGAGCCTTCCCGGTCGTTCTTCCGGCCCTTCTCCAGTTCTTTCGCCTTCTCCCGATCTTCCCCTTGCCCTTCCTCCGGTCCTTCCCCTGTCCTCCACCCTTTTCCTGGCCGCTTTTCCCGGTCCTTCCCCGGCTTTTCCAGCTCCCCCGGCTCCTCTCCCACAGCACAGTGGCTTTTCCCCGTGCTGGGCATCCCCTGCCCCAGCCTGAGGACAGCCGTGGAATCAAGGAATATCCTGAGTAGGAAAGGACCCACAGGGATCGTCCAGCCCAGCCCCTGGCCCTGCACGGACACCCCAAAATCCCACTCTGTGCATCCCTGGCAGCGCTGTCCAAACCCTCCTGGAGCTCTCATTCCCTGGGGAGCCTGGGCCGTGCCCCAGAACTCTCTGGGGGAAAAACCTTTCCCAAAATCCAACCTAAACCTCCCCTGACGCAGCTCCAGCCGTTCCCTCAGGTCACCAGAAACCTTCACCCTCTGGCTGAAGAACCTTTAGCTGATCCCAGCCCTCTGATGTGACCACAACGCCCTCATCACCGGCCTGAGGTGTGACCCAAGGCAGCCCAACCCCACAGCTCAGCTGGGAGCAGGCACACGCACTGTGGTTGTACCAAAATCCCCTGGAAAAAGGAGCTGGGCTGATTGGAGTGTGCATTCCCATAGCTCAGTGAGGGATTTGGGGTTTTGTATCCCCAGCAGTGCTCCAGCCACCAGTGTGAGCAGATTTGGTGTTGTTTTCAGTGGCTGGAAGGATTCCATCGTGGATAACAAGCCTTAGAGCATCCTGCAAGGCTTAGGGTTAGAGAATGGGAGACATCAATTGAAAATTTATGGGCTGTGCAAACCACAAGATGGTGCTGCCAGAAAATGATTCCATGGGAGCAGCAGTCTCAGCGTCAGAGAACTGGTGGATTTTTTTAAAATCATCACCACTTCCAGCATCTCAAAGCAATCATGCTCCTGTTATAAACTGCTTCATCATCAATCATCAAGATCTTCCCCACTTCTGGGAAAGTTCTTGTCATGAATGTGGAAATTTCAGAGAAATCTTTCTCAATATCGCTGAGGTTTGTCTGACACAAAGTTCACTTGGCTATTACAAGAACCAGTAGAAAATAAATGTACAGAACACAATTTTCAGACCTCCCTGAAAAGGTTAAAATACATTTTCATGACAGCAAAAGAACTTTGGAAAGTTTCCCTGGATTTAGCAAAGCTTCTTAGAATTTTTGGCACTTTTATGAATGCTTAAATTGTATTTCACCACACCCCTGTGCCATCACCAGCAGATGGTAAAAGCAGATGTAGGATTTTTAGCTGCCCAGCACTGAGTTAATCTTTCCACGGTTTAAGCCTAAAATTGATTTCTCTTCCTATAGTTTTGAGTTTGGGTTCTTTCTGTTTGTGTGACTCCTTTTTTTCCACTTCAAGTTTGAAAAATATTATGTCTTTAAATCTAACCAGAATTTAGACAGGCAGAGGAACCACTGAGGCTCCCAGAGCTCCCTACCACTTGTCACATTTATGGTTTCCTGCACAGCTCCAGATTTTATTATTAACGCTATCTCTGGCCTGTGCAGCCCTGAAAACAGGATGGATCCAGCAGTTATTTCCCCTGGGATGTCTGGACAGATCTGAGAAGAGATTTCACATTTTGCAGCTTGAGTGGAGGCTGCTGCCCTGCAAACTCCCCTGGGAGCCATCCAGCCCTGGAGTGCAGGGAAGGAACAGGATGGAAATGGACTTGTCACACTCTGCTGTCTGCTTCAGAGCTTGTTTCTATCTGTATTTTTTAATATCTCTCTCTTATTACTGCCACTGTATCTTGGAGGCTACACAGGCATGGAGATGGCACTGAAATTCTTAAATAATATTGATCTTATGAAGGAGATGAAATAATTGATAATTGCTGTGCCTCCTCTATGAGAGTATCAATATGTTCTGCAAACAATAACAGATGACTGCAGGGGACAGATGATTTCTGAGGAATACAGTGATTATTATCAATTTCTCTAAGGTTTATTTTTTTTTATTTTTTAATCTAGAGAGGAATTTTAGAAAATGAATCAGAGGCAGAATGATTAAAGTTGGAGAGGGACCATCTTGACCCGGGGATGGATGGTTGGAAGGATTGGCCAGCACAGAGAGCACTGAGGCTGCTCTGTAAACACAGCAGCCTTGCAAAGCTGAGCTCAGAAGGGACCACAGTGCTGGGTGTGAGTGGCTGTGGCTGCAGTGACAGCACCACACACTGCTCCCATCTCTGTGCACGGCGAGGGCAGCAGGGCTCAGAGCCTGGGACACGGCTCCTGCCCTTCCTCAGCACTGCTCAGCTCCTTGGGGTGAGGCTTGGGCAGCAATATCTGCCTGAAGAGCATGGAAAGGTGATTTGAAGACAAGGAACTGCCTGGGGGTGCCTAAACCTGGTATTCTGCACACCTAAACCTGGAATTCTGAGCACCTGATCTGCTGAACATCTGAGCCTGACATCCTGAGCATCTAAGCCTGATATTCTGAATTTAAGCCTGACATCCTGAGCATCTAAGCCTGATATTCTGAACACCTGAGCCTGAAATCCTGAACATCGAAGTCTGATATTCTGAACACCTAAACCTGATATTCTGAGCACCTAAACCTGGTATTCTGAACACCCAAGCCTGATCTGCTGAACACCTGAGCCTGACATCCTGAACTTAAGCCTGATATTCTGAATACCTGAGCCTGAAATCCTGAACATCGAAGTCTGATATTCTGAACACCTAAACCTAATATTCTGAGCACCTAAGCCTGATTTGCTGAACATCTAAACCTGACATCCTGAACCTAAGCCTGATATTCTGAACTCCTGAATCCTGAATTCCTGAATCTAAGCCTGATATTTTGAACATCTAAGCCTGATATTCTGAACTCCTGAATCCTGAATCTAAGCCTGATATTTTGAACATCTAAGCCTGATATTCTGAACACCTGAAATCCTGACCTTAAGCCTGACATCCTGACCACCCAGCTGAGCTGGAAGGTGGAGGGGGATACCAAAGCCCACTGAGCAGCCCATCACAGCTACCACAGCAACCCTTTGGGACCTCTTGGGACCGTAATCCTGGGAAAAACAACAGCAAATTCAGCAGGACTCGGGATTCTAAACCAAAATAAAAGCTGCTGCCAAACTTCCAGCAGATCTGCTTTGGGGCTGAGGCTGGGAGAAGCATCTGAAATAAGCAAATTGTGCTGAGCAGGTGCTGGGGGAGCAGGGAGACCTTTCCTTGCTGCTCCACGATGATCTCTGGCTGAGAGCTCCTGGCCACGCGTGGAGGAGACAGGAGAAACCTTTGCAAGCTCCTTCCCAGCTCTGCTGGACCAAAAGCAAGGAAATACTTTTGGATAAGAGTGTGGGTTGGTGGATCTCCTTGAAGGATGCCTGGCCAGGAGCCTGAGGACTTTGGAGCAGAAATCCTGTCGGAAAACTCGCGGATGATCCCTGGGCTCCCCCCGTATGACATGGATGAGCAGCTCCTGCCCCGGCAGCCCCGCAGCCCCTGCTGCTGCCTGGCCTGGACCCTGCTGATAGGAACCATGAACTCCCTGGTTTTCCTCCTGAATTTGCTCCTGATGTTTGTTATTTTCACCGTCGTGCTCCTTCCTACCATCGTGGTGGTTTACTTTGGCTTCCAGTGCCACTCCCAGGTAGGTGCCACTCCTCAAGGGCAGGGCCACACCTGAGGGTTCCTCTGAGCCCCAGGTGAGCAGTGCCTGGAAGGGACAGGAAAAACTCCCCAGGTTTTGGCTTTGGGCACAGATTTTTCCCTGTGTGAAGAGTCAGGGCTGACAAGGACAGGTATTGTGGGAAATTGGGCAATGGAGTTGTGTCCCCATGGAAATTGGGCAATGGAGTTCAGTCCCCCAAGCAGAGGTGCCAGGTGAGGTGAACACACTCCCTGCCATGGTGGAATTGCTGTTTGCATTTTAATTTCACAATTATTTCTCTCTTCCCTGGGATTTCTGTCACTGAGAGCTGCCAACCCGAGCTCCAGAGCTCGCAGCCCTTCCTGGGCTCTGGTAGGGTTTGCTGCTTTCTGTTGAAGTAAATTTAAGATTAGGATCTGCCTAATTAGGATTAGTAAAATCTGACAGAATTGATAAACCCCTTCTCATGCCAATCTAACATTGCTGCTCCCAAACATTCTGTGCATTCCTCACAGCACAAATGAGCCTCCTTTGTCCATCCAGGCTCTGTTTGCTGCCATCTGCATTGCATCATTTCCTTATTTACCAATCCCTTCTTGGTATATTCCTTTAAACAGTTTTGGGATCAGCTGACCAAGGGTGGATGTGAAAAAGCAATTCCCTGTTTTCCTTGCAGGCATGGGCTGTTAGACCAGCTCAATGTGCCTTTTTCATAAGTCATAAACAGGGCCTGCAGATTGGACTGAAAATGGGAAAAAAACCTCCCAGAACTGCCCCTTCCAGCTTCCCTCACCTTGGAAAACCTCGAGTTCTCCTTTGCACACACACTCCAAGGCTTTGAGGAGATGCAGAATGTTCTTTGAGTGCAGCCAAGTGCACCAGAAGTGAAAGCTGCTGGAAGCTGTGAGGAGCTTTTTAAACTCAGCTTTTCCCTTAACGCAATCATAGCAAGGGATTGTGGCTTCCCCAGAGCAGTCCCTGTCTTTGGGCCATGGTTTTTGAGTGGCTCCCCAGCAGCCAGGGGCTGCTTTCTGCACTGCAGCTCCATTAGGTGGATTTATTGTTGGTTTTTAGCGTGATTGTGTTCCTTTCACTGCTGAAAAGAGAGAAGAATAAAGTCAGAGGCTGCCTGCAGCATTTGGAGTGCTCAGCTCAGCTCTGCTGCTGCCAGCATCAAAGGAGGGCTCTGAACAGCACTCAGCCAGGCCCAGAGAGGTTTTCTTTGCAAGTGGTCATTTCTGGCAGGTTTTTCAGGCAGAAATGAGTGTACACAGAGAGCAGAGCACAAAGGGGTCTGGAGAGCCACGGGATGGCCAGCATCTGTCTGCAGAATAGAACAGATTTCTGTATTTTCATTTATTTTGTTTTGTAGATGTGTATATCATTTATATTTATTTTTATTTACATAAAAAGATATATATTATATAAATTTATAGTATAATATATATTATAAATTTATGTAGATTTTTTTTTTTTTTTTTTTTTTTTTTTTTGTTCTTCCCAGCGTTGTGCCACTCACACCAGTTTAGCACTAGGAGGATTTTTGGATTTGCTTTGTGCAGAATCTAACAGATTTCTGTATTTTTATTTCTTTTTATCAATATATTGATATATATTTATTTCTATATTGACATATAATTTATATTCTATTTTATTTATATATTGATATACAATTTATATTTATTTTTATTGCCACACCACTGTAGCACCAGAAGGTTTTTTGGATTTGCTTTGTGCAGAATCTAACAGATTACTGTATTTTTATTTATATATTTATATATAATTTATATTTATTTTATTTCTATAAAAAGATATGTATTATATAAATTTAGAATATAATATATTTTTAATAAAAATATATAGATATTATTTTATTTATTTATTTTTTGTTCTTCCCAGTGTTGTGCCACCCACACCAGTGTAGCACCAGGAGGTTTTTTTATTTGGTTTGTGCCTCTCCAGTGCTATTGGATGACTGAATAAAATGAGTGTTTCCTGCTCCAGGGTCAGTGTGCAGTGCTCCTGTCTCTCAGGGAGAATTGAAAGCTTGATTAAGATGTGATTTCTGTCACAGACCATACCTGAAGATTGCTCAGCTCTGAGAGAAGGAGCAAAAGAAAATCTTTCCTTTTTCCATGAAAACATTGGAAACTCAGGGGTGTTTTGGCCACTGCTGTCAGCACCAGGCCACATGAGAGGGGTGGCCCTGGCAGAGTTGGGTTAATGGGGGACTTTTCACAGAAATGCAGAATTCCCAGGCTGGGAGAGACATTCAAGATCATGGAGTCCAACCCAGCCCCAACCCCTCAACTCAACCCTGGCACCCAGGGATGGTGACCCCAGCACCTCCCTGGGCAGCCATTCCAGAACTTGATCACCTTTCTGTGAAAAACTTTATCCCCCTTTCTGTAAAAAACTCCTTCCCAATATCCAACCTAAATTTCCCTTGGTGGAACTTAAGGCTGTGTCCTCTGGTTCTGTAATTTCCTGGAGAAAGAGCCCAACTCCACCTGGCCAAAAGCACCTTTCAGGAGCTGTGGAGAGTGACAAGGTCACTTTATCACCTTTTCTGTAAAAAACTTCATCATCCTTTCTGTAAAAACCTTCTTCCCAATATCCACCCTGTATTTCCCTTGGTGCAGCTTGAGGCTGTGTCCTCTGGTTCTTTCTGTTCCTGGAGAAAGAGCCCAACCCACCCAGCCAAAACCATCCTTCAGGGAGCTTTAGAGACTGATAAAGTCACTTGATCTCCCTTTCTGTAAAAACCTTCTTCCCAATATCCACCCTGTATTTCCCTTGGTGCAGCTTGAGGCTGTGTCCTCTGGTTCTGTCAGTGCCTGGAGAAAGAGCCCAGCCCCAGCTGAGCACAGGCACCTTTCAGGAGCTGTGGAGAGTGCCAAGGTCACTTTATCACCTTTTCTGTAAAATACTTTATCTCCCTTTCTGTAAAAACCTTCTTCCCAATATCCAACCTATATTTCCCTTGGTGCAGCTTAAGGCTGTGTCCTCTGGTTCTGTAATTTCCTGGAGAAAGAGCCCAACCCACCCAGCCAAAACCATCCTTCAGGGAGCTTTAGAAAGTGATAAAGTCACTTTATCTCCCTTTCTGTAAAAACCTTCTTCCCAACATCCAACCTGTATTTCCCTTGGTGCAGCTTGAGGCTGTGTCCTCTGGTTCTGTCAGGTCCTGGAGAAAGAGCCCAGCCCCAGCTGAGCACAGGCACCTTTCAGGAGCTGTGGAGAGTGCCAAGGTCACTTTATCACCTTTTCTGTAAAAAACTTCATCACTTTTCTGTAAAAACCTTCTTCCCAATATCCAACCTATATTTCCCTTAGTGCAGCTTAAGGCTGTGTCCTCTGGTTCTGTAATTTCCTGGAGAAAGAGCCCAACCCACCCAGCCAAAACCATCCTTCAGGGAGCTTTAGAGACTGATAAATCACTTTATCTCCCTTTCTGTAAAAGAACTTCTTCCCAACATCCACCCTGTATTTCCCTTGGTGCAGCTCGAGGCTGTGTCCTCTGGTTCTGGAGGAGAGAAACCCAAAGCCAACCCCACCTTTCAGGAGCTGCCCAGAGTGCTGAGGTCACTTTTTGGAGCTCCTTTCCCACGTCCTGATCCTGGCTGTGCCTCTCTCTCTCCCCCCGCAGGTGCTGCACTCCTCTGCCCGCTACTGCAAGAGCATCCTGGACGACAACAGCTCCTCTGCCCTCATCATCCTGGGCTTTGTCATCATGTCCCCCCTGCTGGTGGTGGCCATGGCCATCTACTGCAGCCTGGCCCGGCGCCTGCAGCTCCTGGTTTGCTTCCAGCCCTACAGCCTGGCCCTGTACAAGGGGGGCCGCTGCTGCCACGCTGGGGAGGGGGCTCCGTGCTGTGCCAGGGGCCGCCAGCTCAAGGCCTGGGTGTGACCCTGCAGCACCAGCGGCGTCCCCTCCCTGTGCCTCATCATCGTCATCATCATCGTCATCATCATCGTCATCATCATCATCATCGTCATCATCATCACCATCATCCTCGGCCCGCCCTGGGGAACTGCTGCTGCTGCTGCTGCTGCTCAGCCGGGGCACACTGTGCTTTATCCCAAAAATCCCCAAAAAATCTCAAAAATCTGCAGTGGAGTGGAGACAGCGTGGGACAGGTGTGGGGTGGGCGGGGCAGCTTCATCCTCCAAACTGACCCTGTGGTTTATCCCAAAAAACTCTAACTGAGTAAAAACACAGCATGGGACAGGTGTAGGGAGGGCAGGGCAGCTTCATCCTCCAAACTGACCCTGTAGTTTATCCCAAAAATCCCAAAAATCTGGAACAAAGTGGAAACACAGTGTGGGACAGGTGTGGGGTGGGCAGGGCAGCTTCATCCTCCAAAATGACCCTGTGGTTTATCCCAAAAATCCCCAAAAAAATCCCAAAAATCTGCAATGGAATGGAGACATAGTGTGGGACAGGTATGGGGTGGGCAGGGCAGCTTCATCCTCCTAAATCATTCTGTGCTTTATCCCAAAAATCCCAAAAATCTGCAACAGAATGGAACACAGTGTGGGACAGGTGTGGGGTGGGCAGGGCAGCTGCATCCCTCCAAATCCTCTCTGGTGTTGTTTTTGGTCTTGTTTTTGGTCTTGTTTTTGGTGTTGTTTGTGGTGTTGTTTTTGGTGTTGTTCCTGCTCATCACTGCCTGCTGTCCCCTTTGTCCCCTTTAGAGCCATTCCCAGTTTTCTGTACAAATAAAGTTTGTGCCCATTCCCTCCTGGAGGAGTTTGTTCTGTCTCAAAGCCCTCCTGCAGCACAACCACCTCTTGCTCTCCACTTGGCAGCACTGTGAGGGTAAAATAGAATTTTTGCTCTTTCTGATGATTTCATTTTAATTTTATTTTTAAAAATCAATGTTCTGATTGATTTCCCCCGCTGTTTGCTCTGATACCACCCAGAGGAATAACCAGGGGTGGTTACAGGGGGAAATGAACTGGAGGGGAAAAAAAAAATAAAAGGAGGAAAACAAGCTGACATTTTCTGACAAGACTGAAGAAAAACAAGAAAGTTCTGTTCCAGGCAAGGGAGATCTGCTAGAGGATAACAGGGTTTTGCCTGAGGGCACTGTCTGCTCACTGGGTACAGATATTTGATATGAGCTGCTGTTCCTTTTGCTCACCTGTAGTTTAATCCAACTGCTTTTAAAAGGAAAACATCCTTCAGCCTGGCAGGGCTGCAAAGAAACCCAGAGTTATTTGCTATGGCCTCCTTAATAAAAAAAAAAAATTATATTTCAGTTGGTATTTAATATATATAAAATATAAAATAAAATATAAAATATAAAATACTCTGTGGAGTATTTTATATTTTATATTTTATATTTTATATTTTATATTTTATATTTTATATTTTATATTTTATATTTTATATTTTATATTTTATATTTATATTTATATTTTATATATATTTTAAAATATATATTATATTTTATATCTTTATATCTTTTATATTTTATATCTTTATATATTTTATATTTTATATTTTATATTTTATATATATTAAATGAATTTAATTCATTTAATTTGAATTAAATTCATTTAATATATCAATTTAATTCAAAAATGAATTTCCCTGCAGTGTCAGCAGCACAGCAGACAGCCCAGGCTGTCCTGGCAGGGGCAGAGCTTTATCCCAAAAAGCTTTTTTGGGATAAAAAATTCCCAGCAGTGCTGCAGCTCCAGGGTGAAGCTGAATTCATTCCACCAAGAAGCAGCAAAGCTGTGCTGGTGCTGAGGCACTCCACAGCAAGAGGGGAAAACAGGAGACCAAAAATAAAATTTTTTGTCCCAGGACAGCCTTGAAGGAGAGAGGAAAACCCACCAAGAAACAGCAAAGCTTTGTTGGTGCTGAGGGGAAAACAGGAGACCAAAAAATCAAAATTTTTGTCTTAGAACAGCCTTGAAGGAGAGAGGAAAGCGACCCCACCAAGAAGCAGCAAAGCTGTGCTGGTGCTGAGCCCCTCCAGAGCAAGACAACGATTAAAGGGGAAAACAGGAGACCAAAAAAAATCCCTTTTTTTGTCCCAGAACAGCCTTGAAGGAGAGAGGAAACCAATCCCAGCCCAGTGGCTGCTCCAGGTCACCTCCCTGTCAGCCCTGCTGGATGAGGCTGCTCAGAAAAGCCCCAAGAACATCCTGGAGAGCAGAAAATTCCCTCCCAAGCCTGGCCAAGTGGATTTTTTTTGTTGGTTTTTTTTTTTCTGGCTGCAGACATTTCCATGAGGTCACTCTTGGAGTTCCTCCCGTGTCTGGAACGTTCACAACCAGAAATTCAAACGTTTTGGGGCTTTGTGATGCCTCCTGTGTCTCACTCTGGTGCAGTGTGGGGCAAAAGGGGCCTGCAGGGTTTGGGATCCTGCAGGGTTTGGGATCTTCCAGGATTTGGGACCATGCAGGACTTGGGACCCTGCAGGGTTTGGGATCCTGTAGAGTTTGGGATGCTCAAGGGTTTGGGATCCTGCAGGGTTTGGGATGCTCAAGGGTTTGGGATCCTGCAGGGTTTGGGATCCTGCAGGGTTTGGGATGCTCAAGGGTTTGGGATCCTGCAGGGTTTGGGATCTTCCAGGATTTGGGATCCTGCAGGGTTTGGGATCCCACAGGGCTTGGGATCCTGTAGGGTTTGGGACCCTCCAGGATTTGGGATGCTCAAGGGTTTGGGATCCTGCAGGGTTTGGGACCCTGCAGAAATTGGGACCATGCAGGACTTGGGACCCTGCAGAATTTGGGATCCTGTAGGGTTTGGGATCCTCAAGGATTTTGGATCCTGCAGGGTTTGGGACCATGCAGGATTTGGGATCCTCCAGGATTTTGGATCCTGCAGGATTTGGGATCCTACAGGGTTTGGGAAGCTCAAGGATTTTGAATCCTGCAGGGTTTGGGATCCTCCAGGATTTGGGACCATGCAGGATTTGGGACCCTGCAGGGTTTGGGATGCTCAAGAGTTTGAGATCCTCCAGGATTTGGGACCATGCAAGACTTGGGACCCTGCAGAATTTGGGATCCTGCAGGGTTTGGGATGCTCAAGGATTTTGGATCCTGCAGGATTTGGGACCCTCCAGGGTTTGGGATCCTGCAGGGTTTGGGATCCTCAAGGGTTTGGGATCCTCCAGGATTTGGGACCATCCAGGATTTGGGATCCTCAAGGGTTTGGGATCCTCCAGGATTTGGGATCCTCCAGGATCTGGGACCTTGCAGGATTTGGGACCCTCCAGGATCTGGGATCCTGCAGGGTTTGGGAAGCTCAAGGATTTTGGATCCTGCAGGGTTTGGGACCATGCAGGGTTTGGGATCCTTCCTGACTCAGTCTCCAGCTCCCCTGCTCCTTCAGAGCTGCTCCCAGATTAATTATCAACTGTACCAAAAGATGATTCAGGATTATGCAGTTAATTAATTATCAACTGTACCAAAAGATGATTCAGGATTATGCAGTTAATTAATTATCAACTGTACCAAAAGATGATTCCAGGAATCCTTGGATCTGCTTTTTGATCTGCAGCCCTGGAAAAATGCTGGATTCAGGGCAGGGTCTGACACGTGGGGTGAAAAAATCGTGGTTTTTTGCTGGGTTCTGCTGATAAAACCTGCAGCAGTGGGGTCTCCTCACATCCTGCCATGGATTGGGCCAGGAGAGAACAGGGAAAGGACCCCAGAATTCCAGCAGAACTCTGGAGATTTGTAGGAATTCCCTGAAGGGAGAGTAACCTCGATGGAAGCAGTAACATGAATAATCTGAGGGGCTGCTTTAATAAACTTCATAAAAAAAACCTCACTTTAATAAACTCACTTTAATAAACTTACTGTAATAAACTAAATAACTTTAATAAAAAGGGATAAAAAAAAATTCCCTTTTTAATTAAAATTTCACAGTTCAATTTCCCTCGTTTTCCCCTCTGGGACATTTTCCCCTCCTGTTCCAGGTGTTCCCTCCATTCCTGCCCAGCTTGCAAACCCTGGAGATGATGGAAAAAAAGAGAAAATAAATCTGCAGAGAGGCTCTGGGTGGCTTTTTTTGGCCAAGCAATGTCCTTGACAGGTGTCAGGAAGCCAAGCAGAGGCAGAAAAATCCCCATGTGTGGGAGAACTCAGCAAAACAGGATCTGCCAGATTTCCTCCCTGTTTTCCACCCCATTTGTACAGAAATATCTGCAGATATTTGGGTTGTTTTTTTTTTTAACAGCAATATCTGGTTGTCCTTTGGAGAAGATGGAAGTGGAAGTTTTGAGTGGATGGCTGGAATTGCAGATTTTCAGAGAACTGAGTGGAAATTTCAGGGAAATTTTCAGGATTTGGTGCGGGTGCAGCCGTTTTTGCTTTTCCCATTTTTCTCAATTTTTAGTGGCATTCCCAGTGACCCAGCCCATTTTGGGGGGGATTTTTAGGGCCATTCTCTAGGATTTTGCTGTAAATGCAGATTTCCACGTGGCTGATCTGCTCAGAGCCCTCACACTCTGAGCACCTCAATTCCTCCCTTATTTCCTAACAATTCCTCCTAGGAATTCCTCCTTCCTAATGCTTCTTCCTGGATTTTATTTTATTTTATTTTATTTTATTTTATTTTATTTTATTTATTTCATCCCTGTTGGCAAGTGGGGAGTGTGGATGGGCTCTGAATTCACGTTCTGCCTCTTCTTTCTTGGCTGAAAAAGCAAATTTATCTTGCAAAAGGAGCCTGATCCACCATGGAAGAGCAGAGAGGACATTTCTGTCCAGAAGTGCCACTTATTTATGGCTGAAAAAGCAAATTTATCGTGCAGAAAGAGCTTGACCACCCATGTGATATAAAGGTCATTTTGAATTTTATCTATTTTTGAGCTTTTTTGACATCAGGGTCTTTTTGAGGTCTTCCTACACCTGTGGAAGAGCAGAGAGGACATTTCTGCCCCTGATTTGTGGCTGAAAAAGCAAATTTATCTTGCAGAATGAGCCTGACCCACCACGGAAGAGCAGAGAGGACAATTCTGTCCAAAAATGCCACTTACTTATGGCTGAAAAAGCAAATTTATCTTGCACAAAGAGCCTGACCACCCTGTGGAAGAGCAGAGAGGACATTTCTGCCCCTGATTTGTGGGGGGATTTTTGTTCCCTGCTTGTTCTTTCATCGTTCAGGAATTCCAGCAGCCAGCTCTGGAACAAAAGCCTTTTATCCCCAGAAGAGATGGGGATTGTTTGGAATTTGTGATTTGCACAAATCTCTTTCTCTGGGATTCAGTTTTTTTTGCCCAGGCTGACGTGGGAGGGAGGACAGGGAGCCCCCCACTGTCCTGGCCTTGTTTGGCCATCAAATTAAAATGAGAAATGAATTTTTTTGTGAAGAATTTTCAAAGCCCTAAGAGAAGGCCCGGTGGTTCCTGCTGCCCTCTGCATCCCTGCAGAGGAGAAAAAAGCAAAATAAACAAAAAAAACCCCACTCCAAATTGTCGGTTTTGGGTTTTTTTTCTCTCTTCCAGATGCACAAATGATGGAGATCAGAACTCACGAGGGAGGCCGGGAGCTCTCGGCTCCTGACGTGGGTGGAAATTCCTCAGGAAACTCAGTCCTGAGGAGATTCTCCTAAATTTGGCTTTTCCAAGTGCTCTGGGCTCTCCTGACAGGATGGAGACAAATCAGGACAAAGCAGTCAAGAAATAAAGGAAATTATCCAAAGAATAGGCTGGGCTAAAAATGGAGCTGTCCCTGCAGAGCTCCTTGGGCTGCTCACAACTGAATCCAATTTTTTTGGAGCTGTTTGGGTTCCTGGCGAGGAAAGGGGAAAAAAAAGGGACTCAAATCCTGCTCCTGAAGGAAATGAAGCAGGAATTTCAAATTTTAAGGATTTTTTTTTTTTTTTTTTTTTGCTGGAGGTTCTCAGGGTGGAACGTGAAAGGTTGGGTTTGGATTGAAAGAATGATGAGCTGCATGGAAAAGTCGGTTCAGGCAGATCTGAATCAGCCTCTGCTCCCTCAGAAACTTTCAACACAGCCTTTGGAAAGAGGGGAGGCAACTCAGAGAGGTGCAGTTTGTTAAAATTTAATATAAATTGTAATTTTATGTTAAAATTATACTATATAATGTAATATATAAATTATAATTATTAATTTAAAATAGAATTTATAGAATTTAAATGGTAAATAAAATAAATTTTAATCTATTAAATTTAAATATATTAAAATCAAAATATACATATATATTCACTATATAAATTTATTTATGTAAATTTATAGTATATATTAATATTTACTGTAATGCTTATAATATATATTAATAATTATATTATATTATATTAATTAATATAAAAGTTAATTAGGATTTAGTTCATTATTATATATATTATTCATTATGTATTTATAATATATTATGATATAATGTATAAAATATATAATAGTTATATATTAATATATTGTAATAATAATATGTCATATAATATATAATATGTACTATATAATATAATATATTAATATACATTATATAATACATAGAATTATAATATTAATAATATCTACTATGATATAATACATAATATATTATATTTTAATATATTATTTATAATATTTATACTATTATTCAATTAATAGCTTTATAACAGTAATATAAATTTTAATATAATTTTAATATAGAAATTTTTAAATATACATTGTAAAAATCTAGCAAATCACTCAAAATCTCTCTACAAAAACAAGGAAGAGTCAATCCCAGCACTGCTCATCCTCTGAGAAACATAAAACTGGTGTTTGTTAGATGTAAACACATCTATTTTTGTAGTTTGTCTTCCAAGTCAAACAAAAATAAGAGATGACTCCAGGCTGAGCCCTGCATGACCTGGTGGTAACTGAGAAGTGACAAACCCAGGCCTGACCCCAGGCTGGCATTTCTGGGGTCAGGGAGATGAAGCTGGAGCCCTTGGCCTGCAGCTGAGCAGAAATTAATTAGCAGAAATTAATTAATTAGCAGAAATTAATTAATTAGCAGAAATCACCTTCAAAGTGGGCGAACTTGTGAGAAGCGCTGCTCGCTTCCAAAAAAACTGAGAAAGGTTTATTAAAACCTTATCAAAAACACAACAGAAGAATGAACGGAGAAAATACAACAGAGCCAGGAGCAGAAGATTTTTCCCCCCAGGATTTTTTGCCTTTTAACCCTTTAAATTCTGCCCCAAAATTCTGCCCCAAAATTCTGCCCATCAGCTCCTTCTTGCCTGTCCATGGTGGAGTTGAAACCCTTAAATCCTGATTGTTGATCAGGTGCTGCCACAGTGCCAACCCCACCCTCCCAAATGTCCCAAACCCTGAGAACAACACAAGAGGGGTAAAACACAACTAAAAATCTATAAAATATAACTCAAAATCTATGAAACATAACAAGAAATCTATAAAATATACCTATACATCTATAAAACATAACTATAAATCTATACCATAGAACTTTAAATCTATAACACATAAGTATAAATCTATAACACATAACTATGAATCTATAAAACAAAACTAAAAATCTATAAAATATAACTATAAATCTATAACACATATCTATAAATCTATAAAACTTCTCCTAACATCTACACATGATATTTGCCTTTTAATTGTGAGAGGGATCTGGATCAGCCTCTCCTCCCCCTGAAGAGAGAGGGGCTACAACTCAGAGAAGTGCAGTTTATTTAGTATTTAAATATATATTGAAATAAATTAATATTTATTATTATTATTTATATTATTTAAATTACTACTTAAATAAATATTAAAATTTAGTATAAATTATCATTTTAATTATAAAATTGGGAAAGGAGGAATTGAAGGAAATCATCTCCATGGATCCAGCAAGGGGCTCTGCATGGGTCTGGAGAGGATGGGATGGGATTTGGTGGGATCTGATGGGATTTGGTGGGATATATGGGATATAGTGGGAGCAGGTGGATGTCTGGGTTAGGGATGCAGGAATTTAGGGATCTGAACCCCCTCCTCCCTCTGAAGCTTTCAACAAATCCTTTGGAGAGAGGGGCTGCAACTCAGAGAGGTGCAGTTTATAAAAATTTAATATTAACAATTTTTTTAAATGTAATAAAATTTTATTAAAATAATATAAATCAATTAATAATTTTTAATTAAAATTATTATGAATTACAATTTTAATTATTAAATTGGGAAGTGAGGCATGGAAGGAAATCATCTCCATTAATTCAGCAAGGGGCTCTGGATGGGTCTGGAGTTGGGGCAGGAGGGGGATTTGGTGGGATATGATGGGATTTGGTGGGATTTGGTGGGATTTGGTGGGATATGGTTGGATATGATGGGATTTGGTTGGATTTGGTTGGATTTGGCGGGGACAGGTGGATGTCTGGGTTAGGGATGCAGGAATTCAGGGATCTGAATCAGCCTCTCCTCCCTCTGAAGCTTTCAACAAAGGTGTTTGTAGGTTAACTTTCTGGTGTTTGTGGATTAATTTTCCTGGTGTTTGTGGATTTAATTTTCCTGGTGTTTGTGGATTTAATTTTCCTGGTGTTTGTGCATTAATTTTCTGGTGTTTGTGGATTTAATTTTCCTGGTGTTTGTGCATTAATTTCCTGGTGTTTGTGCATTAATTTTTTGGTGTTTGTGCATTAATTTCCTGGTGTTTGTGCATTAATTTCCCTGGCAGGGAGGGGGGACGCAGGGGCCGCAGCCCCGCGTGTCCGCAGCGCTGGGAGGGCCCCGTGGGCAGCTCCGAGCTCCCCGCGCTCCTCCCAGCAGATTGGCCAATATTCCCGGGGCAGGGCAGCTCCCTGCCTTCCCCACTCTTCCTTTCCTTTATAAACGCCTTTTTCCCTCTTCCAGCTCATTCCAGACCAGCAGGACTTTGGATTTCTCTCAGTTTTCTTTCCCTTTTTTTTCTCTTTCCTTTTTCTTTTTTTTTTTTTTTTTTTGTTTTTGTCTTTTTATTCCTTGTAGTTCCTGGCCTGCTGCCAGTGCCTCTCAGGTCCAAAGTTTTATCTACAGGGACATATATATATATATTTTTTTTTTTTTCAATTTTGTTTTATTTTTATTTTTTTTTCCAAGCCAAGCCCAGCTGCGCACGGACGAAACCCCCGCTCCTGGGGCGAGCTCAACTCGGCAGAAGAGGAGGAGGAGGAGGAGGAGGACGAGCAGCAGGAGCTGCCTCCCCTCCAACCCTCCCTGTCAGGATGGATTTATGGCTTTAAAAGGAGTGGGGGGAGGAAGGAAAATTCCCTGCAGGAGCCAGAGCTCGCAGCCCAGCGCAGCCCGGACGGAGCTGCAGGATGGCCCTGGGGGCTGCCGGACCCGGACTATGACTGAGCTCGGGCTCGGTTGGGCTCCCTCAGGTGGATTTAAGGCGCTTTGGGCAGGACCAGGCTCTGCTATGTTGGCCAAGGTGGTGTTTTCCCTTTTTCTGTGGCTGCATTTTGCTGCGGGACAGGACACACCTGAGCCAGGTGAGTGCCTGAAAGGTGAAGGGTTCCTGCTCTGCTTTTCCCTGTTCTTTGCCTCCTGCTCACCTCAAAAACCCTTTTTAGAATAAAAACTCAACCTATGGTGCTGCTTTCCATTTTTCTGCCACTGCATTTTGCTGCGGGACAGGACACACCTGAGCCAGGTGAGTGCCTGAAAACCAAAACGTTTCTGCTCTGCTTTACCCCATTCCCTGCCTCCTGCCTGCCTCAAAACCCCTTCTCAGAATAAAAACTGAGCTTATGGTGCTGCTTTCCCTTTATTCTGTGGCTGCATTTTGCTGTGGGACAGGACACACCTGAGCCAGGTGAGTGCCTGAAAGGTGAAGTGTTCCTGAGCTGCTTTTCCCCCTTCTTTGCCTCCTGCTGGCCTCAAAAACTCTTTGCAGAATAAAAACTGAGCATAAGGTGCTGCTTTGGGTGTTTAGAAGTAGTTGTGCGCAAGAAACCTGTCTGTAATCGCAGCAAGAAATTAATTAGAATGTAATTTTGTCGCTTTTGCTCCCGGCGGGGAAGAGGAAATTGTTCAGAAATTTACAGAGTTAAAGCAATCCCATGGAAAAGCGCTCGCTCCTCACTGAGGGCTCTGAGAGGAGCCAGGCGGTGATTAACGCTCTGTTCTCTCCCGATCGCTGTAATTCAATCACTTCGGCTTTAAAACTTCAGCTTTTCTTTCTCCTGGGAGCTGCTGATGGGAAATGATAACGGGGCAGTCCTGCAGGGCTGGAATTGGGAAAGGGAGGGATGGATGGACAGGGATGGACAGACGGACACACGGATGATGTCCCAATCCTGAATCAGGGCAGGATTCACCCTTCAGCAGTGGCTGAGCTGCTGCAGTTCAGTCTGTCCTGGTGTGGAGAAGGTTCTGAGGCTGCAGGGATGGTTCTGGTTGGTTCTGAGGCTGCAGGGATGATTCTGGTTGTTTTTCAGTACCTGTAGGGATAGTTGTGTTTGGTTCTGAGGCTTCAGGGATGGTTCTGAGGCTTCAGGGATGGTTCTGAGGATGCAGGGATGGTTCTGAGGCTGCAGGGATGGTTCTGGTTGGTTTTCAGTGCCTGCAGGGATGGTTGTGTTTGGTTCTGAGGCTGCAGGGATGGTTGTGTTTGGTTCTGTTGGTTCAGTGGCTCCAGGGTTGGTTCTGAGGCTGCAGGGATGGTTCTGGTTGGTTCTGTGGCTGCAGGGATGGTTCTGGTTGATTTTCAGGGCACCTGGGAACTGCAATCCATTGGGGAACCAGAGGGAGCCTCGTGTCTGTCCCTCCATGTCCCACTGGCGTCTGTCCCTCACAGGGTGCTGGCTTCTGTCCCTCTGTGTCCCACTGGGGTCTGTCCCTGTGTCCCAGGCTGGATTTTATCCCTCAATGTCCCAGCTGGGTTCAGATCCCTCACAGGGTGCTGGGGTCTGTCCCTCAGTGTCCCAGCTGGGACAGGAACAGTGCTGCAGCTCCTGCCATTGTCCCAGCTCCCCAAGTCCACCCTGGCAGCAGCAATTCCCATTGTCCTGCCCTGCTGCCACCCTGGAGCCCGTGGCACATTCCCATTGTCCTGCCCTGCTGCCACCCTGGGAGCCCGTGGCACATTCCCATTGTCCTGCCCTGCTGCCACCCTGGAGCCCGTGGCATTTTCCCAACCTGTGGCATTTCCCAGCTCTGAACAATGCTCAGGCCTTCAGGGGCTGTGACAAGGCAGCCTTGGCATTCCACAGGGGTTGTGCCCTGCTCCAGAGGCTGGGTGTGGGTTTGGGGCGAGCTGAGCTGGGTTCAGGGGTATCAGTGTTTGGATGATCTGGGTTTGGATGAGCTGAGTTCAGGAGGATCAGCATTTGGGGCTGAGCTGGGTTTGGGGCTGAGCTGGGTTTGGGGCTGAGCTGGGTTTGGGGCTGAGCTGGGTTTGGGGCTGAGCTGGGTTTGGATGAGCTGGGTTCAGGAGGATCAGCATTTGGGATGAGCTGGGTTTGGATGAGCTGAGTTCAGGAGGATCAGCATTTGGGGCTGAGCTGGGTTTGGGGCTGAGCTGGGTTTGGATGAGCTGCCTTTGGCCTCCCCCTCTCTGGGCAGGAGATGCCCATCCCAGCCTGGCACAGCTCCTGGTGCCTCGTCCAGAGGGGCTGTGGTGCCACGGGCACAGGAACAATTTACCCATGGAGAAGAAGAACCCTCCAGTTTAGCCTCCACCCTAAAACCTCCATCTTCCTTCATATTTATTTCTATATTCTAAAACCCCAAACTCTCAGTTTTCCACCCTGTGATTTTACACACTTCTAACCAACTCCACACCCACAATCCCAGTTCTGTCATTCCATTTTGGAACTCTGCATCGACCTGGGGATGTGGAGAAAGGTTCTCTTTGGGGTCTGTACCTTTAAAAGCACAGAAAACTTAAAACCCTCAGCACCCAGAGTTCCAACATGAGCAGTGGGAGAAGACAGCAGTGGGATGTCAAGCAGAGCTACCCCGGACAGGAGCTGGTCCCTGCTGGCTGCGAGGGAGCCCCAGAGGCCGGGGCTGTGTGAATCAGGCTGTGCTCAGCTCCCAGCCCGGATCTCTCCCGTCAGCATCAGGGGAAGCCTGGCCAGCTGCTCTCCTCCTCCTGGAAAAGCCAGCAGGCAGCGTTGTGTTTCCATGGGGACATTTTGCTTCCCAAATCCAGCCCTTCAAAACACTTCTGAGCTCGGGGCATCGACCCAGGCTCACGTAGGGGGTGACAGCAGGACCCTGCTGTGTCCCTGTCCCTGCCCAGGCTCCAGCAGAGCTCAGGGATCACGTCTCAGTTATCCCTGACACTCCAGGAGGCAGGAAAGTGCTCATGGGTGCTCCAGAACCCCCCTGAAAATGAGAAATCCTCATCTGGCACCTGGCCACGCCGTCTGAAGCGCCCGAGAGCAGCAGCTGCTTGCGTGAGCAGGGATTTGGTGGTTGCAAACCTCCACCTCTGGCACGGATGGCATGTTTGTGCTGGATGCAGGACAAGGAGCAGGAGGAAGGATGAGGGAATTGGGAGCCTGGACCTGCTCAGGATTTCAGTGTCTTGGTTGCTTTGTGAGCCTTGCCACGCTCCTGATGGGGGCAGAGCCTTTGTCTCGATTTTCTTTTTTTTTTTTTAATGGATTCTTTCTGCTGAACAGGAGGAATTTGTTTCCATCTCGTGCAGGAGTCAGCGTCACACATGGGATGGGGTTGGTGGGGGCAGAGCCTTTGTCTCGATTTTATTTTATTTATTTATTTTTAATGGGTTCTTTCTGCTGAACAGGAGGAATTTGTTTCCATCTCATGCAGGAGTGAGTGTCACACATGGGATGGGGTTGGAATGAAGGAGAAGCTTCTGCTCGGCCCACAGAGGGTCCCTTCAGCTCCAAACACCCCCCTGCCCTCCAGCTGCTGGTTTGGTTAACCAGGGCAGAGCCCTGTGGGGTCAGGATGGGGCTCTCCCTAATTAACAGCAATGAGTAATTAACAGCAATGAGTAATGGGGAAAACCAGCATTTACGGGATGGTGCCCCAGAGCCGCAGGGTACAGAAAAAAGGACAGAGCTGTGATTCCCCAAACCTTTGTTTTTTGGGGTTTTACCCAAAAGGACATGGCTGTGACTCCTCTTTGTCCTTTTGGGGTCTCACACAAAAGGACACAGTCTGACTCCCCAGATCTTTGTTCTTTTGGGGTTTAACCCAGAAGGACACAACTGTGTCTGTCCTTTGTTCTTTTGGGGTTTCATACAAAAGGATTTGGCTGTGACTCCCCAAACCTTTGTTCTTTTGGGGTTTTACCCAAAAGGGCACAGCTGTGACTCCTCTTTGTTCTTTTGGGATTTCACCCCAAAGGACATGGCTGGGACTCCCCAAAGCTTTGTTTTTTGGGGTTTCACCCAAAAGGACATGGCTGGGACTCCCTTTTGTTCTTTTGGGGTTTCACCGAAAAGGATAAAACTGTGACTCCCCAAACCTTTGTTCTTTTGGGGTTTCACACAAAAGGACACAGCTGTGACTCCTCTTTGTTCTTTTGGGGTCTCACCCCAAAGGACAGGGCTGTGCCTCCCCAGCCTGTGCAGGTTTGGGGCTCACAGCACTCCACTGATGCAGTTCCCTCTCTCTGCCCTGCCAGCTCCCCAGCCATCCACCTCCAACACCGAGGGCGACCTCCTGTTCCTGCTGGACAGCTCTGCCAGCGTCTCCTGCTATGAGTTCTCCAAAGTCAAGGAGTTCATGTGGGACCTCCTGCACCCTTTCACCTTTGGCCCTCGGGATGTGCAGACCAGCATCATCCACATCAGCACCACGCCCAGCATGGAGTTCCCCTTTGACCAGCACCTGAGCAGGGACTCGCTGAGGAAAGCCATCGGGGGCACGCGGCAGCGGATGGGCGACACCAACACGGGCAAGGCGCTGTCCCTGGCCAAGGAAAAGCTCTTCAGCAGCGAGGCTGGGGCCAGGCCGGACGTGCCCAAGGTGCTGCTGTGGGTGACGGATGGCTTCTCCACGGATGACATCTCGGAGCCCATGCAGCTGCTGAAGGACATGGGGGTGACCGTGTTCATCGTCAGCACCGGCCGCGGGAACTTCCTGCAGCTCTCGGCGGCTGCCAGCCCGCCCTCGGACACGCACCTGCACTTTGTGGACGTGGATGACCTGCCCATCATCACCCAGCAGCTCAGGGACGCCATCCGAGGTAGGCTGGGACAGGAGGGGGCAGCAGGGCCCGGCGCGGGGCTCGGATGGTGCAGGTCGATCGCTGTTGGTGTAGGTGATCACCCAGCTCTGGAACAAGGTGCTCTGACCCCATGGTTCAGAACAATTGCTTCATTAAATTATATTATATGACATTAATGCTATATAATAACTATATAGAAGGGAATAATGCACTCTGACCCCATGGTTCAGAACAATTGCTTCATTAAATTATATTATATGATATTAATACTATATTATAACTATACAGAAGGGAATAATGTGCTCTGACCCCATGGTTCAGAACAATTGCTTCATTAAAACTACAGGACATTAATACGGTATTATAACTACAGTAAAGAGAATAATTTGCTCTGACCCCATGGTTCAGAATAATGGCTTTATTAAATTGTATTATATGACATTAATGCTATATTATAACTATACAGAAGGGAATAATGTGCTCTGACTCCATGGTTCAGAAGGCTGAGCAATTGCTATATTATATTATATTATTTAATACTATTTTAATACTATATTATATTAATACTATTGATATAATATAGTATTAATATAGTATGGTGTATACATAGTATTATATTAATGGTATTATATATTATATATAATATATTATATATATTTTATATAATATATATTATATATAATAATATATGATATATATTTTATGTAATATAATATCTTATAGTAATTATATATATAGTATTATATTAATACTATATTATAACTATACTACAGAGAATAATGTGCTCTGATTCCATGATTCAGAAGGCTGAACAATTGCTTTATTAAAACTATACTATATTAAATTAATACTATATTATATTATTATATATATTTATTATATATTATTAGTATTATATATTATAACCATACTATATAACACTAAAGAAAAATCTGTGACTGTCTCCAGACAGGCACAGCTTTGAGTGATTGGTTAATTAATATAAGCAATTATCACCAGAATCCAATTACCAAATCCCTGCCACAGGTCCGAGTACAAACCAAGGCTTCTGGGAGGTCTGGGATAAATATTTGCCCTTGGAATATTTGTGTGAGTGGGACAGGTTCCCTTTGGTGAGGTGAACTTGTGTTTGTGAGGCGTTCAGCTGGGAACGAGGAACTCAAAATATCTGAATTCCTTAAAACCCCACAAGTCTTTGGGATGAGTCATGCAGGTCAGGCATCTGCACACCCCAGGCAGAGCTCAGAAATGCCCCACCTGCACAGGCTGTTAACCAAAGATTTCCCAAACAGGAGTGATTTCACCTCAGTAAATTGTGGACACAAAGTGCCTGAGCCCCCTGAGCTGATTTTCACACTCAGAGTGGTTTTTATTTCTTTCCTCTCAAAAGTTTCTGTCTCTGTGCCAGCTGATGGAGGAACACAAACGTGTTGAGCACATCTAAAATGGGATGTGTGTCCCTGGCAAGGATTTGGTCCTGTCAGCTCCTTCCAGCTCTGGTTTGGGATAGATCTGACTCCCTGAAATTCACCATCAGGGGCTGAGACCTCCAACTCCTGCAGTTGTTCTCTTACAAAACACAGTTCAGGACAGTGCCTGCTGTCAGCATTGAGGCTATAGGAAAGGAATGTTTTTGTTCCATAAATCCCTGTTCTAACGTGTTCCACATCTGCCAGATCCCTGGACTGACTTGGCCAGCAGAGCCTTTGGAGGAGCAGCCCAGCCCTCACAGGGCTGCAGAGAGGGAAATGCCACTGGAAATGCCCCTGTGCCACAGCTGCCTGCCCTGTGAGACCCCAAAAGGGCAAAGGGGAACCACAGCTGTTTCCTTTGGGGTTAAACCCCAAAAACCAAAGGTTTGGGGAGGCGCAGCCACGTCCTTTGGGGTTAAACCCCGAAAGAACGAAGATTTGGGCAGTCACAGCCATGTCCTGTTGTGTGAGACCCCAAAGAATAAAGGTTTGGGGAGGCACAGCTGTGCCCTTTTGTGTGAGACCCCAAAAGAACAAAGAGGACTCGTAGCCATGTCCTTTTGTGTGAAACCCCAAAAGAACAAAGGTTTGGGGAGTCACAGCTATATCCTTTGGGGTGAAACCCCAAAAAACAAAGGTTTGAGGAGTCCCAGCTGTGTTGTTTTGTGTGAAACCCCAAAAGAACAAAGGAGATCTAAAACCTGCAGAGGTCAGGACTGCTGTGCCTGAGGGTAATGTTCATTCTGTGAATCCAGCAAGCCCTAAAACCTCCTGGGCTGGGATTTTAATGCTGGGTGAGATTCCCACAGGAACCCAGGGCTTGCAAAGTGCCAGGTTTTGGTCACATCACCTGATTTCACCTTAATAAAGCCACTTAATCCACTGCTCCCTACCTGGAGGAGGCAGCCCTCAGCCAGCACCCCTCCTGGCATGGCAGGGACTGACAGCATCTTGGCAGGCAGGAATTAATTAATTCCAGCTCTGGAATAGCCCAGACTGGTTTAATTATCACTCCTCTCTTATCTTCATCTCCTGCTACTCTTAAAAAAAAAACCAAAAAACCCAAAAAAACAGTGGAGGCTTTTGGAGAGGCACAAACAAGCTTTGTCAGGAGCTGCTCTCCTCCTTCCATCTGCTCTCCAGGCTGGGCTGTTTCCTGCCTGCTCCGCAGAAATTCCAAACCAAGGCTCCCTGCCAAGCTGCCTCAGGTGGGCCCAGCCTGCACAGGGAGACACCCCTGAGATGTGCTGGGGCTGAAATGGCTCCAGAGATGCCCTGGGAGGGGGGCAGGACAGGGGCTGGGGGTGCTCACTGCCTGTTTTCCCTCAGCCCATGCAATCCTGGAGTCCCTCCTGCTTTTTCACAGCTTTTCCCACAGTTGTGTTTATGGGCCATGTCAGCTTATGGGGTATCCTTAGTTTAAGGATGAGCTGTTCAAGAGCAAATGTTCTCTGCATCTATTTCTGAAATCACCTTCAGCTCTGAGAGCAGAGATCTTCTTCTCCTCTCTGTGAAGGCACAGGGTCTCATCACTCTTCTCTTTTTCTCTGTTCAAATTTCTCATGGCATCACAGCTACTTTAACATTTGCTTACTTTAGCCTGGAGGCCTTTGCTGAACAAATCATTGCCCCAAACTTTTCAAGGCCTTACAAGGAAAAGGGGACTCTGATGCATCAATTGCATCTTCTCCATAGCTTTACAAGAGGTTTTCAGTCCTAAGATCAGGACTTTTTTTTTTTTCCCTGCAGAAAGCAGCTCCCAGCCAGCCTGGCTGTGGCACAGCTGGCTCCTGGCAGGCACCTCCACCCTGCCCAGAGGGAGGGGAAGGTTCCCAGGCTGTGCAGGAGCTCAGGCTCCTTCTGTGCATCTCAGATGTGCCCAAAGTTTGGCATTTGGTGCTGGGGAAGGACCCTCAGTGTTGTGAAAGCAAGGCATTCCTCTGAGCTGACATCAGCCCCGTGCCTGCAGCCACTTGCTCTGTGCTCAGCCCAGTTAAGCTGGGGCTGCTGACTCCTGCCAGCCTTTGGCACCAGCTCCTGAGCCAGGCTTTGCAGGAGCCTGCAAGCCCTGAGCATCACCACGTCCCACATGTGCTCAGAGCAGAGCATTTCTGACCCAAAATGGGTCCTGGGTGAGTCCTGCTGCAGGGAAGGCTTTGAGCTCTGTCCCCCCTGCCAGAACCAGGACCTTGCCCCACTCACATCAAACAGAGCCAGAAGTGATTCGTCCCAAATCCCAGCTGCAGCTTCTCTGACCCAGTTTAGGACAGGTTCTTCTGTCTGGCTGCAGGAGAACCTGTCCCAATTTGGGTCTGGGAAGCTGCAGGAGAACCTGTCCTAAACTGGGTCTGAGAAGCTGCAGGAGAACCTGTCCCAATTTGGGTCTGAAAGCTACAGGAGAACCTGTCCTGATTTGGGTTTGGGAAGCTGCAGGAGAACCTGTCCTAAACTGGGTCTGAAAGCTACAGGAGAACCTGTCCTAATCTGGGTTTGAGAAGCTGCAGCTGGGATTTGGGACAAATCTGTCCTGTTCTTGCTGTTCAGCTGTTCTTCCTGCTGTTTTTTTTTCCTTACCCTCAGCATGAGGCCAGCAGCATTCCTGCAAGTCTGATTTTGTGAGTCCTGCTGCAGGGAAGGCTTTGAGCTCTGTCCCCCCTGCCAGAATCAGAACCTTGCCCAACTCACATCAAACAGAGCCAGAACACAGATTTGATTCGTCCCAAAATCCCAGCTGCAGCTTCTCAGAGCCAGATTAGGAGAATTAGAAATAGAATTAGAAATAATTATTCTAGAAATAATCTAGAATTAGAAATAATCCACAGATTAGGACAGGTTCTCCTGGAGCCAGGCAGAAATCCTGGCTAATCTGGGTCTGAAAACTGCAGGAGAACCTGTCCTGCTGTGGGTCTGAGAAGCTGCAGCTGGGATTTGGGACAAATCTGTCCTGTTCTTGCTGTTCAGTTGTTCTTGCTGCTGTTTTTTTCTTACCCTCATCATGGAGCCAGCAGCATTCCTGCAAGTCTGATCCTGATCTCTGCAGAGCTCCTGGCTGCAAAATGGAGTCCCCAAGAGGCAGGAGGTGGAGGGAAAGTGTCACCAGCTGAGTGTCACCAGGCAGGCACTGCCTGGGTCCACTACAGGATATTAATTATTAATTATTATTATTAATTATTATTAATTATTGCTGTTTCCCTCTGGGAGCAGAGGGGTTGGGAAACACTGTGTGTTGGATTCAGCTTTTTTCTGACTTAGAGATGGAGCAACTGAGAGGTGTTTGAAAAACTTTTATTTTATTTTCAGTCTCATGTGAACGGTGAGACAATACAGATGTTATAATTCATGCTATTACAACCAGAAGTTGATTATTTCTTAATTATAGTACATTGTAAGTGGGGGTTTTTTGCTTATTTGCTTTAGCTACACTATGTTGTAAATGTTTTAAGGCCAATCATCTAAAATTACCCCTCATGGCTCCTACTACAATGCATCTTTCATAGTTCTATTTCTCCAAAATGTCTAATCTTTTCTGTAAGGTCATCTTTTGAAACTTTTTTTTTTTTTCTGGTTCCATTTCTCTCTCCACAATGTCTGTCCTGTTCCATGGCATTTCTAAATCAGCATTTCTTATCTCCAGGTTTGCACACAGATGCACACTGTGTGGGCCTTGTGTTTGAGAACTCTCTATAAATCCATTTCTCACAATTGTGGGCTTTTATTTCTCTATTTTCTGTGCTTTATTGCCCTCTTTCTATGCTGAAACTTCCAGGGCTCTGGCAAGAAGGGGCAGAGCTGTTGCTGTGGGCTCCCTGCCCCTCATCCTTTGATCTGCCCCCTCCATTCACAGTTTCCCTGCTCCAAGCTCACTCATTTCCACTCCCTGAGCTTTTGGCAGGATTTTTGGCAGCGCTGAGACCTTTCCTGTGCTCCCTGTCCCTTTGTGGCTTGGCCCCTGGGGCTTGTGGGGCTCCCAGAAGGGTGCAGGGCCCCAGGACATGGGATGGGATCACTGGGATGGGATGGGCAGGGCACAGAGCAGGGAAATGCTCCTGCCAGGGAACAGCTCAGAGGAAAAACTGAGCCTGTTTTATTTGGTACAGGGAAGCTGGCAGGGCTCAGAGCAGCTCAGGGGAGGAGAGCTGATCCTCTCCCAGCTAAAGGACGAGTCTGGGGAGGCAAAGCAGCCCCAGTTTGCAGCTTTGGGAGGGATTCTGTGCCTCCCTTCACCTCTGTGCAATGGGGAGCCAGAGAGAGCTACCTGAGCGTGAGCTGGAAGGTGCTTTTATAAGGATTTAGGGGCACTTCAAAGCTCTTAAAAATCATTTTAAACCAGAAGAGATCTCCATGCCACTCCCCTGGAGTTAGAAACAAAGTCCTGTGTGTTTGTGCCCCTCTGGAAGAGCAGAGAACGGTGGAATTGTGCCCAAAATGGACACGTCAGAAGGGCCAAGGAGCAGAGGGAGCTGCCCAGCTCCACCAGAGGGATTTGTGCCTGGAGTTTGTGCTCTGGAACTCCGAGGTGGCACAAAAAAAAGGCTCAAAAAGAAGCAGTCCCCATGCCTGGGTGTGTTTAACAAAGCCTGGGTGTGGCACTGGGCGCCAGGGTTGAGTTGAGGGGTTGGGGCTGGGTTGGACTCCGTGGTCTTGAAGGTCTCTTCCAACCTGGGGATTCTGAGAATTCTGTGGATTCTGAGAATTCTGTGGATTCTGTGATTGTGTGAATTCTGTGGATTCTGTGTTTCTGAGAATTCTGTGGATTCTGTGATTGTGTGAATTCTGTGGGTTCTGTGGTTTTGTGCATTCTGTGGATTCTGTGGTTTTGTGCATTCTGTGGATTCTGTGATTGTGTGAATTCTGTGGATTCTGTGGTTCTGTGAATTCTGTGATTCTGAGAATTCTGTGATTCTGTGGGTTCTGTGATTGTGTGAATTCTGTGGGTTCTGAGAATTCTGTGATTCTGTGGATTCTGTGGATTCTGTGATTGTGTGAATTCTGTGGGTTCTGAGAATTCTGTGGATTCTGTGAATTCTGTGATTGTGTGAATTCTGTGGGTTCTGTGGGTTTGTGCATTCTGTGAATTCTGTGATTGTGTGAATTCTGTGGGTTCTGTGGTTTTGTGCATTCTGTGAATTCTGTGGATTCTGTGATTGTGTGAATTCTGTGGATTCTGTGATTGTGTGAATTCTGTGGTTTTGTGCATTCTGTGGATTCTGTGATTGTGTGAATTCTGTGGATTCTGTGGTTTTGTGCATTCTGTGATTCTGTGATTGTGTGAATTCTGTGTGTTCTGTGGTTTTGTGCATTCTGTGGATTCTGTGGTTTCTGAGAGTTCTGTGCCCGGGGGCAGGGAGAGGTGAGGTGGCACAAGAGGGCCCTCTCTGAGTGTTGAATGTCACCGAACAAGGGAGTTCTGTGAGCCGGGCAGGAGGGAGTGACCTCAGCTGGGCTGGCACTGCCCAGGCCCTGCCCTCTCCCCTGGGCACAGAGCAGGGGAAATTGAGCTCTCCACGCTCTGGGCGGCTTCTTAGGCAGGGCTTTGCTGGTTTGGTGTCACTGGTTGGGGATTTCCACGGGGAAATTAATCTGTAGAGAATTAATTCTCTACCCTAGATTATAGATCTAGACCAGATCTCTCAATCTAGACCAGATCCAGACCAGGTCTCTCGATCTAGACCAGATTCGGACCAAATCTCTCGATCTAGACCAGATCTGTAGGCTGGGTGCTTCAGGGAAATAGAAATGTAAAAATACATTGTAATACGACTCATAAAAGGTAATTTTAGATAACTAGCTGTAAGACATTTACAGCATTTTATTAAAAAAAAAGTACAAAATATTAATATATAAAATAAAATATAATACGATATATAAATACATTTAAGTATATATGTAAATACATATTTAAATAAATATACAAATATATAAATTTAGTGTTATAAAAGCTTATAGGCCAAGAAACACTTATAATGTATTACAATTAAGAAATAGTTGGCTTCTGATTGTGATAACGTAAATTATAACATCTCTATTGTCTCATCCTTCACATTAAACTAAAAAATAAAAATGAATTTTAAAATATAAATATGTAAGTAAAATATACAAAATATAAATATATTAAATAAAAATATAATAAGGTATATAAATATCTTTAAATAAATATATATTTAAATATCATATAAAATAAATATATATATAAAATATAATAAATATATAAAATATGTTAAAGTATAAATATAAAATATAAATATATATGAATATATAAAATAAAAATAAAAGTATGAAATATAAAATATTGTTAAAATATAAATGTATATAATAAAATATATATTAAGTATTTATATATTGAGTATATATAAATTATAAAAATAAAGTAGACATAAAAATATATTTAAAAATTACTATAGAAAATATAAAATATATTAAAAAATAAAACATATTATAATATATTTAAAATATTAAATAATATATTAAAATATAAATATATCAAAAATAAAATAAGATAAAAATAAAAGGATAAAAAATAAAATAAAAGCCTTTACAACACCTCTCAGCTACTCCATCTCTGAATCCACAAAAACCCCTTAATCCACCACCACTCCTTGGTGACTCAGGGCTGCTGCCAGCTGCATCTCTGACCCAGAAGGGCTGGGACTGCAGCTGCTCCTGCTCTGGGGGTTGATGCCAGCAGTGATTTCTGTCCCCTGTCCCTTTTCCAGATGTCATCCAGGCCAACCGCCTGCACGCCACCGACGTCACCTCCAGCAGCTTCCGCCTGGTGTGGCCGCAGCTGCTGTCCCAGGACAGCGGCTTCTACAGCCTGGAGTACGGCCCGGGGGGGGACCCCGCTGCCAGGAGCACCCTGCAGGTGCCCGGGGCTCAGAGCAGCCTCGTGCTCAGCCAGCTGGCACCAGGAACCACCTACGAGGTGGCGCTGATCCCCGAGTCCAACGTGCACTACTTCCCTCCCCAGAGAACCAGGGTCACCACCCTGCCAGGTAAAGGGGCATGGCTGGGACCAGGGGCACCAGGGTCACCACCCTGCCAGGTAAAGGGGCATGGCTGGGACCAGGGGCACCACCCTGACAGGTAAAGGGGCATGGCTGGGACCAGGGTCACCACCCTGCCAGGTAAAATGGGCATGGCTGGGACCAGGGGCACCACCCTGACAGTTTAAATGGGCATGGCTGGGACCTTGGGGCACCAGGGTCACCACCCTGCCAGGTAAAGGGGCATGGCTGGGACCAGGGTCACCACTGTGCCAGGTAAAATGGGCATGGCTTGGATCAGGGTCACCACCCTGCCAGGTAAGATGGGCATGGCTGGGACCAGGGTCACCATTGTGCCAGGTAAAGGGGCATGGCTGGGACCTTGGGGACAAGGACAGGATCCCACCTGGGGCTGGAGGTGGAGATGGAGGATGCTGGGATGACCTAAGGGAAGTCTGGGTTTGAGAGGGGAAGAACTCAGAGCAGGATCAGCCTCTCTGTGCAGAAAATAACTCAGATTTATGCTGGGGACAGACTGCACAAAGGGGGCAAACTGAAAACTGGGCAGGGGTGGCAGAGTCAAGGTGGACTTGTACACAATATTAATTTTCTGCATGTGAGAACAGCTGTGGCTGAAAGGCAGAGAAACTCTTTGCTTTGGGCTGAGCTGTGGGATGAGCATCAACATCTGCTTGCTGGGCTGATTTGAATTCCTTGCTGGGGCTGATTTGAATTTCAGTGTGTTGATATTAATTCCACTGGCTTGATTTGAATTCCTTGCTGGGTTGATTTCAATTCCACTGGGTTAATTTTATTTCTAGTGAGTTGATTTGAATTCCTTGCTGGGTTGATTTCAATTCCACAGGGTTGATTGTAATTTTACTGGGATGATTTGAATTCCAGTGGGTTGATTTCAATTCCACAGGGTTGATTATGATTTTACTGGGTTGGTTTGAATTCCAGTGGGTTGATTTTAATTCCACTGGGTTGATTTGAATTCCTTGCTGGGTTGATTTCAATTCCACAGGGTTGATTATAATTTTACTGGGTTGATTTGAATTCCTTGCTGGGTTGATTTGAATTCCACACCCCTGAACCCCAAGATGACGCAGGTGAATAATTCTCATTAAATCCTCATTCTCACCTCTCTCCACTGTTCCCAGAGGAAATCAGCCCAGTTCAGGTTCTCATCTCAGACTCTGGGCCCCGCAGCTTCCAGGTCAGCTGGGCTCCTGTGCTGGACAGCGTGGCCTCCTACCAGGTGCTCTATGGGCCCCTGCCAGGGAACTCAGCCAAGCTGCTGCAGGTGGATGGGAGCCACAACAGCACCCTGGTGCAGCACCTGGCACCCAACACCACCTACCTGGTGACAGTGACGGCCATCTACAGGTCTGGGAAGGAGAAATCCCTGTCAGCCAAGGCCTGCACCCTGGAAGGTGAGCGGGGGCAGCACAAGGAGTGCCCCTAGAGGGTCTCCTGCCTCAGGGTGGACTCAGAATCCAGTCCCTGGGTGGATTTTTGTTATTCAGAATCCTGGTTTTTTATTATTCAGAATCCAGTCCCTGGGTGGATTTTTGTTATTCAGAATCCTGGTTTTTTATTATTCAGAATCCAGTCCCTGGGTGGATTATTATTATTATTCAGAATCCCCAATTTGGAAGCAACCTTCAAGACCAACCCAGCCCCAACCCCTCAACTCAACCCTGGCACCCAGTGCCCCACCCAGGGATGGTGACTCCATCACCTCCCTGGTTCCTGTGAATTCCCAAAATTCCCCCAAATTCACAGAATTCTCAGGTTGGAAGAGACCTTCAAGACCATGGAGTCCAACCCAGCCCCAGCCCCTCAACTCAACCCTGGCACCCAGTGCCACATCCAGGCTTTGTTAAACACACCCAGGATGGTGACCCCAGCACCTCCCTGGGCAGCCATTCCAGAACTTTAACAACTTTCTGTGAAAACCATTATCACCTTTCTGGAAAAAACTTCATCACCTTTCTGTGAAAAAGTTCTTCCCAATATCCACCCTGTATTTCCCTTGGTGCAGCTCAAGGCTGTGTGCTCTGGTTCTGTCAGTGCCTGGAGACAGAGCCCAGCCCCAGCTGAGCACAGGCACCTTTCAGGAGCTGTAGGGAGTGAAGGTCAGCCCTGACTCTCCTTTTCTCTTTTTTCTGGAAGGGTTTGGTATTCTGCAGTGCTGGATGGGTGGCTCTAAGAGCCTGATTTTCCCTGGAATTTATGTGGATCTCAAAGGTCTTTTTCACAGAATTCACAGAATGACCAGGTTGGAAGATACCTTAAAGATCATGGAGTCCAACCCCTCAACTCAACCCTGGCGCCCAGGGCCACATCCAGGCTTTGTTAAACACACCCAGGGATGGTGACCCCAGCACCTCCCTGGGCAGCAATTCCAGAACTTTATCACCTTTCTGTAAAAAGCTTCATCACCCTTTCTGTAGCAAACTTTTCCCCCAATATCCAAACTACATTTTCCCTGAGCCTGTATCCTCTCATCTCCTCCAGCAGGAAGATGCAGAGTGATTTTCTCCCTGCACCAAAGCCGAGCTGTGTTTCCAGCACTCCCCGGGGCGGGATCGGGGATCCCTCTGGAACAATCCCCTGCTCCAACAGGGATTTTCTCTCCGCAGAGGGCTCCAGGGTGAGGCACCTGCGCTTTGAGGACGCGGGTCCCAGCAGCGTCAGAGCCTCCTGGGACTCCGCGGCCGGGGCCGTGCGGGGGTACCGGGTGCGCTGCCGGCGCCAGAGCGGCGCCTCCTCCGTGCTCAGCGTGTCCCCGCAGGTGCGTGAAACAAGGGACAGAAAACATCCCAAAAAATCGGCTGTCGGGAGGTTTGCCTGCAGTGAAATGCGGGGAAATCTCGGGGAGTTCGTGGGGAGGGAAAAGCCTGCGTGTTACGGGTATGTGTTATGATGTTGGGGGTTTCTGCAAATGTTAAAATGGATTTTATAGCGTGTCGTGTCTTGGGTTTGTTTTTTTTTTTGTGTTTTTTTTTTTTTTGTTTTGGGGGTTTTTTTGTTTGTTTGTTTGGGGGGTTTTTTTGGGTTTTTTTGGTTTTTGGGGTTTTTTGGGGTTTTTTTTTGTCTTTTTGGTTTTTTGGGTTTTTTTTGTTTTTTTTGGTTTGTTTTTTTGGTTTTTTTTTTTTTTTGGTGGTGGTGGTGGTGGTTTTTGGGTGGTTTTTTTTGGGTTTTTTGGGTTTTTTTTTTGTTTGTTTTTTGGGGGTTTTTTTCTCTCTCTTATTTTATCTCTTCCTAAAATTGACCGGGATTCTCCCTGTCCCGCCGTGTTTCCCAGGTGCACAGCGTGCTGCTGAGCGACCTGCCCCGGGGCAGCAGGGGCAGGGTGTGCGTGCAGCCCCTGTACCGCAGCCAGCCCGGCCCGAGGCTCTGCCGCACCGTGCGCAGGCACCCAGGTGAGCTGGGGCACCCTTGCAGCCACCAGAGGGGCTGGGGCACTGGGCCGGGCTCTCTGCACAAATCCCCAACGGGATGGGACTGCTGGGAACGGGCCTGAGGCTGTTTTATTTTCCAGCATCACTGGAAATTCCATGGTTGTGGCAATGGGGAGATGCCAGCAGGTCACGTCCCTGGCAGCAGGCAAAGGACTTCATGTTACAACTCACTTGATCAGTTTTTTTGACCGTTCACACAAAGCAAAAGCACATTGACAGTATTTATATCTGTATAGTATATATTCTGTATTGACAGTAGTTCCATCCAACCATTATAAGCACAAATCCCTTTGGTTAAAACAATGTTTGCTTATTTTGAATACAATACCTGCTTGTAAGCCTCAAAACACAATGCACAGAGCTCCATTATCAAGCTTAAAACTTCCTAATATCTCACTAGATAAACTTTTCTGTAGCTTAGGGAGTTATTCCAGCCAAGCATTAATACACAGACCATTGCTCTGTTTCTCCTTATTTTCTACATTTCACATTTCTGCTGCCCAATCTCATGGCTCCTGCTTAGCTCCAATCACAGTTCTGCTGTCTCTGAGGCCTTTTGCAGCTTTCCCAAAACTTTGATTTTATGGATTCCCACAGGTTTGGTCTCTTCAAAGAGACAGAAGCTGGTGGTTATAAAGTTGTTTATTGCATGAGGATATCAGTTGTTTATTGCATGAATACCTCAGTTGTTTATTGCACAAGTGTGGCGGTGTCTGCAGGCGTCCCAGGATGAGGGAAGAGATGAGAATCTTGACTCCATGTTTCAGAAGGCTGATTGATTATTTTATGATATATATTATATTACAAGAAAATGATCTATTAAAACTATACTAAAAGAATAGAAGAAAAAGATTTCATCAGAAGGCCAGCTATGAATAGAAAGGAATGATTATAAAATCTTGTGACTCTCAGAGAGTCCGAGCCAGCTGGACTGTGATTGGCCCTTAATTAAAAACAATCACATGAGACCAATCAAAGATGCACCTGTTGCATCCCATAGCAGCAGATAATTATTGTTTGCATTTTATTTCTGAGGCCTCTCAGCTTCTCAGGAGAAAAGATCCTAGCAAAAGGATTTTTCATAAAACGTGTCCGTGACAGAGGCATCCTTGCAGTCAGGAGAGGGTTTTTGGTCTTCAAAGAGACAGAAGCTGGTGGTTATAAAGCTGTTTATTGCATGAGAACATCAGTTGTTTATTGCATGAGTCCCTCAGTTGTTTACATCAAGTGAATCCATCACTTGTTTATTGTACAAGCGTGGGGTGCTCACAGGGGCCCCAGGACGAGGGAAGAGATGAGAATCTCGACTCCATGTTGCACAAGGCTGATTTTATTTAGTGATATATATTATATTAAAAGAAAATTATATATTAAAACTATACTAAAAGAATAGAAGAGAGGATTTCATCAGAAGGCTTGAAAGGAATAGAAAGGAATGTAAGCAATTTCATTATGTCTGGAGCTAAGTTAATTTTGTGAAAGGGAAAACTACTGAACTTTAAACTGGGCTTTAGGGCTTTCACTCATTAACACCCTCTCTTAAGGCACTTCAAATATATTTCTACTCACTTAAAATGAAAACTTACACTCCTACTGTGTGGCTGAATATATTTCAGTTTTTCTAAGGGTTCCAATTCAAACCCTGCATTCTTTTCTCTCTCTGAGGGGTTTCTGTTTCATGCATTCCAAAAGCACAGAGGAGCCCCCAGGGCTGGGATATTCTGTGCCCATCACCGCTCTTGTTTCACCACAGGGACTGATCAAAATTGGGTTTTTTCCCGTTTTTAGGAGTAAGACTCCTCCTAGTGGAGTTTATTGCAGGCAGGAGGAAGAAGAGTAGAGTGGAGACATATGCACAAAAAAAAATTATTCATTTATTTATTTTATCTACTATTTCGATAATATTTAATATTATAGTAATTATTATTATTAATATTATTTAAATATTAAAGAGATAAATTTATTTATTGAAATTTATTTTTGCATTTAATGCATAAAAATACATTTATTTACTTATTATCTTTATATTATTTAATATTGTATTATTGTTATTAATTTAGTAATTAATATTGTTAAAATATTAAATAAATAAATTTATTTATTAAAATTTATTTATGTGTTTAATGCATCAAATACATTAATTTATTCTTTAAATATTATTTCATATTATATTAGTTATTATTAATTTAATCATTAATTTTATTTATTAATTAATATTATTAAAATATTAGACATATAAAATTATTTCTTAAACTTTATTTATGTGTCTAATGGATAAAAACAAGGGGTGAGATCTGTGACTCAGATGTGGAGAATGGGTGGCTAAAGCTGACATTTGTATTGCTCATGTCCTGACATTTTAATTCCTTGTATTCTGACATTTTAATTCCTTGTATTCTGACATTTCCATTCCTTGTGTCCCTCCAGCCACAGAGGCCCACGGATACAGGCACAGAGAGCAGGACAGACTGCAGTGAGCTCATTGCCAGCACAGCAAAGGTCTGGAATGGACAAAGATTTGGACAAAAAGGAGGAGTCAGGGGAGGAACCAGCTCCTGTCCCAGGCTGTGCTGTCCCTGCAGGTGTCCAGCCCAAACCTGGCCCCAGCCAAGCTCTCCCAGGTTTAAAGGCTTGGCTGGATGCATGGAACAACCAGTGTGACTAAAAACGTGACTAAAAGATGCCAAATCTGTCCCCATTTCACAGAAACACGAGCACCAAACAGAGGCAGAGTTGGTGGATCCTCACTCTTGCTTGCTGTTCTCTATTTATTCAAGGTTGATGCAGGTTTCTTTTTGCATCAGCACATTCAGGATTTGGCTGTTCATCTTCCACCCGGCCAAATCCAGTCCTGCATCCAACCCATCCCCTCCAGGTTCCCTGGAAGGAATGAGAGAGCAGGAAACCAAAATCCTGGGAATGTGCTTCCCTCCAGGAGCAGCTGAGAGCTGATTCCAGATTTCACAGAAACACGAGCACCACACAGAAGGCAGAGTGGATCCTCTGGTGGATCCTCAGAGTGGATCCTCACTCTTGCTTGTTCTCTATTTATTCAAGGTTGATGCAGGTTTCTTTTTGCAGCTCATGAGCACATTCAGGATTTGGCTGTTCAACCTCCTTCTGGCATTCCTGAATCCAACCCATCCCCTCCAGGTTCCCTGGAAGGAATGAGAGAGCAGGAAACCCAAAATCCTGGGAATGTGCTTCCCTCCAGGAGCAGCTGAGAGCTGATTCCAGATTTCACAGAAACACGAGCACCACACAGAAGGCAGAGTGGATCCTCTGGTGGATCCTCAGAGTGGATCCTCACTCTTGCTTGTTCTCTATTTATTCAAGGTTGATGCAGGTTTCTTTTTGCAGCTCATGAGCACATTCAGGATTTGGCTGTTCAACTTCATTCTGGCATTCCTGAATCCAACCCATCCCCTCCAGGTTCCCTGGAAGGAATGAGAGAGCAGGAAACCCAAAATCCTGGGAATGTGCTTCCCTCCAGGAGCAGCTGAGAGCCCAGAAAAGCCAGACAAAAGCATCTAAAACATTTATTTTTTGTTTCTGTGCTCCTGCCTGGATCATTGCTCTGGCATTCCTGCAACCCCTCTTCAACGAAATGGGAGTGCTGCTGTCCTTGTGGAGATTAATTAGCCGGTTCTGTGACTAATTACAGGCAATAAGTCTCCAGCACTATCATTCCTCTGCACTCTGAACACACACAGCACATCTCTGGTGTCTTGTCTTGGGCTTTCACCCAGTGCTAAGCTTGAGCTACACTTAAAAATCAGGGGTTTTAAGGTAAAAAAGAGTAAATCTGATTATTTGATTATTTCCCTTTGCCCCTAACTCACTGCCTCTAAGCCACTCTGGAAAGGGGAGCTGGGAAAAAAAAAAGAAAGATAATTAATTATAAATACCTGGTGACCAAGCAAATGGTTTCAAAGTTCAGGGCTTAGGGCTGTAAAGAAATGTAGATATTTCTCTGCTAAACCCCAGCATCAGTGGGAACACCCTCCCTCAGTAACTCTTGCTCTATTTTAAATTTATTGCTTATTTTCCCTCCATGTGGAACTTGGTTTTGAAGCAGTGCTGTTTGTGGAGAGCCCCATTCAGCCTCAAAAACCCTTCTTAAAACAGCTTAAATCAGCTCCTTTTGGGGCTGAGAGGAACTTTTATCCCTGACTTTGTCTCCTGAGAGCTGAATCCTTCATCTCCACCTTTCTGGAGCATTTTTCCTTGGGCTGTCTTGTTCAGGAGAGAAGGGAGGTGAGTCATTCATTAACTCTATAAAGAGATTTTCACGTGATTTTTGTCCTCCTCTGAAATGTGCATTTGTGACTGATTAATCTCAGTGTTGAAAGGATCACAAAGCCCCTGGAACTGCTCATGCAATAAAATGATTTTGTTTCTTCTCGCTGTAGGACAGAAATTAAGTTTGCACAAAACTCACTGCATAGTTTATTAATGCATTAATTTTCATCCCCCCCAGTTGTAACACAGCCTTTTGAAGACAAATAAATATAAATACAAGAGCTACTGAATGGTTCCTTTGTGCTTGCTGGAAAACCTGTGGGGTTTTTTGGGGGGGAATTGTGGGTTTTGTTCCAGGGGTTGAAAAGCTGGAATTCATAGAATCATAAAAATTGGGAAAAGCTTCTGAGATCACCCTGTTAAATCATTATTTTAAATGAAGTGTGTGTTCCACCCATGCCTGAACAACCTGGTTTACTCCAAACTTTACTCCCATCCCTCAAAAAATGTGTGGGAAATGTAAAAAACAGAAATATATTGGTATTGATGATTCCAAAATGATGATTTCCATGGGAAATCCTGCTCTTTATCCCAGATAACCACAGCAATGGGTTTCTCCTCACTCCCCTTTTCTGCTTTCTTATCCTCTCTGCCATTCCAAGGAGAGTATTTTGAGAAATCCAGGATAACCCCAAGAGAAACCGGGGGTAACTCCAAGGGAAACCTGGGATAACACCGGGCTGGGGCCGACTTCCAGGGAAATTCGGGATAACCCAAAGGCAACACCAGGATTACGCCAAGGCAATCCCGGGATAACGCTCAGGCCGCGCCGCCTCGCGGCCCTTAGCAACGCCCCTCCCGTTGCTATGCGGAAGCGCCGCCCGCCCCATTTGTCCCTCCTGGCTCTCCGTCCCTCCACCCTCCTCTCCCGCCCCTCCCGCCTCTTCCCACCAATCAAACCCCACACGCGGCTCCCCTCCACCAATCACCGCGCGGCGCGGCGCTCCGTTTGCCCAATGGGAATCCGGCCCGCCTCGCCGCACATGCGCAGTGACCGCGGCGCGTCCTCCGCGTGCAGCCGCCGCCGCCGCCGCCTCTCTCATGTCGTGGCTGTTCGGGCTCAACCGCGGCGCCGCCCCGGGCGGCGGCGGGGACGCGGCTCCTCCGGGCACCGGCAGCGGCCTCTCGCTGCCGCCCGGCCCCGCTGCTGGTGGCGGCGCTGGTGGAGGCGCCGGGGACCGTCAGACGCCCAAGGACAAATGGAGCAACTTCGACCCCACGGGCCTGGAGCGCGCGGCCAAGGCGGCGCGGGAGTTGGACGCGTCCCGTGTGTGAAGGGACGGGCGGGAGGGCTCGGTGGGGTGGGGGAAAGGGGTCTGTGTGAAAAATGCGTGTGTTTTATGATTGGCTTTTCGCAAATATTCAAATGAATGTTATATGTGTTGTGTTAGAAAGTAATGCTGTGTTAATTCTCTTTAGTAGTGTGCAAAATATATTTTAGGTTATAAAAAATGTTCAAATAGAAACTGTGCTATGGAGGATACTTTTCTTTAAAGAAAGAGGGATTGAGGGGTTATTCCACTCTGGAGCAAAGAGCACAGAGGGTGTGTGGAGAATCAGACAAATAGAAACTCCCACAGACACTCAAGGATTTAATCGACAGCCTTGGAAGAAGCTTAGATTGGTGTAAAACTACAACACACAAACATTAAGCAAAAAAAATTTCATAAACTTATGCTTCTATAGTTATAAGAAAAAATATCCCTTCCCTTATAGAAAAGGCAATGATGCATTAACTGTCCCTTTCGTTATCCCGTTAATTAATTATTACTTTTGGGAGAAAAGGGCTCTGGGGGTGTTTACAGGCTGAGCCCCCATTGTGTCCTGGCTTTGTGATGTTGAGCTGAATTTTTAATGCTCCTGGACTTCTGTTCCCAAGTTCTTGAGCATCCAGAGGAATTGGTGGCAGCAGTTTCTGTGCTCTCACTGTGAAGCCCTGTGAAGGCTGAGCCAGAACAGAGTTACAGAATAAAGCAGGGATTCATGAAAAGTTTCTCCTCAATGGATCCACCTTGGGCAGCACAAGAGCCCAGCCAGGGCTGCACCCAAAATGAACCAAAATGGTCCCAAAATGAACCCAGGATGAACCAAAATGGTCCCAAAAATGGATGATCAGTCACAAAATTATAAGTTCTGCTCCATTTGCATCTTGGAGTGTCCAATTCCAGCTTTAGCCCATGCAGTCCCATCCTTGTTTTTCTCTCTCCAGCCCACGTTGTTTGTGCTCCTGGGCTGAGATTTGGATCATTTGTCCTTGGTCCCCAGCTGGAGCAGGAATTGTTTTGTCTCCCTGCTCTGTGCACAGAGCTCACCATCCCATAATGTGAACCCAGACCCACACACTAAAGCAGCTCAGAATGTGAAAAACAGAAAATCTAAAACCTGAGGCATCAGCACAGAATCTGGAAAATAGAAAAGCCAAAATCTGAGATATTTGTACAGAATCTGAGAAATAGAAATGCCGGAACCTGAGGCAACAGCACAGAATCAGGAAAATAGAAAATCTAAAACCTCAGGCATTAACACAGAATCTGGAAAACAGAACTGTTAGAACCTGAGATACCTGTTCAGAATCTGGAAAATAGAAAAGCCAGAACCTGAGATATCAGCACAGAATCTGGAAAATATAAAATCTAAAGCCTTAGGCATCAGCACAGAATCTGAGAAATAGAAAAGCCAAAGCCCGAATCTGGAAAATAGAAAATGTGGAAAACAGAATCTGGGAAACAGCAAAGCTGTCTATCTATCAGTACAGAATCTGGAAAATAGAAAATCTAAAACCTGATCTATCAGTACAGAATCTGGAAAATATAAATCTAAAACCTGATCTATCAGTACAGAATCTGGAAAATATAAATCTAAAACCTGATCTATCAGTACAGAATCTAGAAAATAGAAAATCTAAAACCTGAGCCCTGCCCTGTGTCTGTTCCCCTCCAGGCCATGCCAAGGACGCTCTGAGCCTGGCCCAGATGCAGGAGCAGACCCTGCAGCTGGAGCAGCAAACCAAACTCAAGGTGGGTTGGGGTTCCTCACCTTGGAACTCCTCAGGCAGCTGCCAGCTTTGGGAGGGACAAAAATTAAAATCTTTCCTTTGCAGAGGATGATCAGTTTGTCTTTCTGGTCAGCTTCAGGAAATTGTAGTTATTTGCCTTTAGGAGGAAAAAAAAAATAAGTAATTCTGGAATGTGAATCTCAGCTAATTTGGCCAATTCTGACACATTTTTTGTGGCTTTGAATATCACTGCTATGAATATCATCATATTCTAGTATCATTTTTATTATAATTCATAGTATAATTTTAAATAATAATTATTATCATAGCTTATTATTCATATTTATTTTAATTATTTATATTTACTATCATATTTTAACTTTCTTGTGTCAGTGGTCATCTTTTAAAGGTACCCCTCTAAATACAGAGGGATTTCTTGGAATGTGATTTTGAATTTCTGGTGATGAAATTTCTGTACAGATGATCTGTGAATTTCTGGTGATGAAATTTCTGTACAGATGATCTGTGAATTT